CTAAATGCCTCAGCGACCATACTGCGTCGTCAAAGTGCCGAAATATTCATTTTATTTTCCATATATGCGTGTTCGGACCTTCATTTTTTAGGTTTAGTTCACCCGTTTCGCCGTTAGATGGACGCCAATTTTTTAGTCCACAAACTGCACTATTTGTAACGTGAACAAATTTAATTGTTACATTGAAATCTATGAGGATCAGTTTTTTTGGTAATTATTCCTCCGTGGCAAGTGTGATTTAAAATTTTTTTTCTACGTCCATCTGGATGTACGTACGCATGTGAGTGCAAAATTTGATGAGAATTGGTCGAGTGTTGCAAAAGAAAAACGCGGACAAAGAAGTTGGAAAATCAAGTATAAGAGCTTCGTTCCCCTTCGGCTCGCTCGCTCAATAAACAAGAAATATAGTTTCTTTTTAATATTACACACCAACACTGTACTTAATTATTTCTTTTGCGATGTTGAAGCTTCCTTTCTTCTAAGAGATTGTTTTCCATCTAATGCCTTTTCCCGTAGTTCATTTTCCATGGCCCTATTAACTGTTTTACTGATCATTTGTTTCAACTTGTGTGATTCTTCAAATTTCTTCTTTTTTGGTTGAATAGGTGCATCTACAAATTATATCATATTAATAGAAGTACGCATATACAACTTAGCACTAACATTCATTTATTTTATGTTTTTTAGTTGCTGTAGCTTCTAATATTTTAATATGTCATGTTATTTATTATACTTATAAGATTTTATTCATAACATTTTGTGTAAATATACTGTTCCTAACTAATTATTTACAAAATGTTACAATTAATATAGTATAATTCTAGGCTGAAAGTAACATGTAAACATTAATTACTGTTTCGTCGTTGAATACCAGGCCCTTTATTACTTTTGTTCTTAGCTTTTCCTTTTGCTGAAGCCGGCACTTTAGTTTTAACTTTCAATTTTCCCTGAGCCATCTTCTGTTTGGAGTTCAATACGCAAAACAAAACCGTGTCACACGTGTATATTCGAGTAAAGAAAATCTGGTTTCTCTAGGGAAAATGGTGGCCAAAAAGAAGAGGTTTCCACTAGAGACATATGAAGATGTAGACCACAGATATATGAAGATTTTTCAAACTACCCACGACTCTTTAAAATTAATTATTTTACAATAAAATATTGTTCGTTTATAAAGAAATTATTTGCGAAAATTTGATTGTTAATAAATTCCTGTGAATTACACATAATACGTAAAGCATGTAGATGTACTTCTTTCTGTAAATCACTATTTCCTCTAGGGAAGCCAAATTTGTACTTCAATGTGTATGTTGTGTATTTTTGCAATAAAAAATATATTACATGATTTTTATAAATTAATTTCAAATTCTTGTTCTTAAGTTTAGAATTAATTATGAACCTTCAAAAAATGTGTTATATTTACTTAGTTAACTTTACATTTTCATATTCTTTTTAGCTAAAAGTAAGCAGAAGATGTTACATGATTGTGATAAATCTCTTACAAGTAGATCTACAATTCTGACTATGAGTAATATGGAATATCAGATCCGAAGATTGTTTATATATATCCGATATAATGAATAATTCATTGAAAATGGTAATATGCAAATTATATGATTAAGTCAAATACTTCTTAATTTTTAAGCTATTCTAACCTGTTATTTAAATGTAAAATGCATTAACTATATTGTTAATAACATAGTTTATATTTGTCCAGTGTAATAAAAATATAAACTTTTTATAGAATATAATAAATACTTAAGTTATGAATTGATAAGTGACACTGACAGTCATTACATATAAATAGAACATGGTATTGCATGAGTAAAAGACAACTAATTGTAGGTAAGAACATGAGTTCAGTTAAATTTACTGAGATGTAATTTAACTATATTTATACCTCAAATGACAGTGACATAAAACATTTATCTCACATAAATCAGAAATGTTTTTTTAAACAGTTATCACATGACAATTTCTAAATTGATTATTGAAATATAAAATGTTAAAGTAGGGAATTATTTATTGTGCAATATTATAATATTACTGTAATATTAAATTGGAAATGACAACCAAATATTATGGTTTATGTATATGACAATTGTGTATTTGAAACAGGTGTTTTAATGAAGCTGTACGTAATGAAAGAAACGTTTGGAATGATGATCCTGCAGTATCCCATGCTAGACAGGCACAAGAAAGAATTCAAGAGTTCAATAGATTGAAAAGAGCAAGGCATCTTCTTGATGCCATTTCTCTTACAAATGAACTATTAACAGATGGTTCAGATGTAGAAATATTAAGTCTTGCTCCCACTGTAATAAAAAGATTAAAATACTTGGGAGTATTTGGTACATATTTAGGTAAGAGTAATATTCATTTGAACAGAAAAATATATGACAGCTTGAATCTATTTTTATTTCTTGAATGAAAAATAATTTTATAGAGAATTTCAATGAAAGCACAGCAGCATCAATATTGAAACCACATACAGGTATCTACCATTGCTGTACATTCTGTTCAAGTGGTGGTAAAAAAGAAACTACTTGTGGATGTGGAGGAACTATGCCTGGTAATATTATTTTCTTAAATGATTTAATATCACTAACTTACACAACATATTTAAATAGGTAACAATTACTTAATTAAAGGTGGATATAAAGGATGTGGGCATGGTCATATTGGACATCCTGGTGTTCACCATTGGTCTTGTTGTGGATCAATCTTGCATCATGGTCCTTGTTTAACACTTCAAAGATCTGTGCATCAGCTGATACTTTAGTATTGGTTTGAAATAAATTTTATTTTTTCATGAATATGTCTCATTATTCTTACAAATAATTCTTTATTATATACAAACAGTATTACAAAATTTATCTTAGCCTAAATAACAAAATGATTTGCTCATTTTTAGTATGTTATTTTTATATATTACAGGAATGTTTAATTTGTACCTCAAATGACAGTCTCATAGTTTTTTCAACTTGTAACAAAAACATACAACTTAACCATCACATGACAATTCATATTTGTATACTTATTTTTGCTAACTCTAACTTGTATACTTAAGTTATTAATTTAACATACCGGTGGTCCATTGAAGCAAAAATATCCTTTATTTCTTCCAAAGTACTATTTAGAAACATATTCTGATCATATTGTGTTAAGAGTATGTTTAAAAGTGTTTTTGCTCGTTGTAACACTGCTTTCAAATATAGAGCAACTCTTTTTCCAGCTCCAGTAGCTGTCTCGCTTGCATGGCCTCTATGTTGCATGGACCACATGCATTCTTTGCAAGTTACCTGAAATATGAATGGTATACTTAAAATACTAATATCTATAGAAAAAATTACTACAAAGTAAGAAATCGCAGTATAAACCTGTTGACACGCAATGCAATAAAAACGTAACGCGTGTATTGGATGTTTTTGGCATAACGCAGTACGTCGCACTCTAGTGGCTTCCCAAAGTGGTTTTATCGAATGTTTTGATGGTTTTAATTCCATAGTGATTTGTTGCTGGTGTTCCATTCCACAATTTAAACAGAAATTACGAAGGCATGTGGCGCATTGAACAAGTGCCTTAGGAAACATTAAAAGCAGTATATTCGTGTAACATTCCTAAACATTCTTAAGTCTAAAATATTTAAATAAAAATAATGCTCACGGTAATTTCGTCTGTACAAGCATCGCAAAGAACTTTGTTCGCAAATCCAGAACGTATAGCATCCATTACTAGTCGATGTTGAAGAGGATAATGTGGAGGTGGAATCGGCGAATTAGCATTTGGTAGTTGAAAATCGCATAAAGGACATATTTCATAATAATTACTACTCTGGGTGCTGTGAACTCTGACATCTTTAAAAGAATCATCAATAGTCATAAAATTATATTTCAGATTCTGTTTATCTTTTTGTGCTTTTACATTACTTACGTTTGCTTATTAATTCTAATACACAAGGTGAACATATTGGATGTAAGCAAGGCAGTAATCTTGGTTCTTGCATTCCTTTACCACATCTTGGACAATGAAACTCTTGAATTCCTTCAACTTCTAAAGAAGAAACAGTTTCCTCTTGCATACATTCATTATTTAATTCATATTTTACACCGTAAGGTAATTCACAAGATTGATAGATAGAATTTGTCTTGTCCATACCCAGTGGCAAAAATACATTCGAATATTCATTACTGCTAAATGATAAAAGAATTTTATAAATTTTTTCTATAAAATTAATAGTACTCACGAAGTACTTACCGCTCATCTTTAGTGAAACGTACTGGTCCTGTGTGAAGAACAGGATACGTATTTTCGATTTTATTATTTCGTTCGTGGAAGGCTGAATTTTTGTTGCGAAATTCGTTGCTCTCATTTTCTCCATCCATCGACGTGTTTTCACCGCAACAACTCGTTACAGATTGATATTTTGGACATTTAATGAAATCCATAAAATGGATTCAGTCCTCAACCTTGTTTATAAATAAATATTAGACATCATAAAATAATTTATTAAATTCAAATAATTATCTAATGGTATCTTGTGCGTATGAACATATAACTATTATAAAGTAATATAATAAATAATAAAACATAAAAACTTATGATGTAAAAGTAGTAACATACATTGATTTAATTAAACAAACTTACCAGTTTAGACAAACGTATTACGCCCAGAAATTCGACGATGGATAGAACGAATTCGTTTTGCACTACTTTGCTCTCGCTATAACGTAATGGGTTAAAAATAACGTACAAGCAAGCGCATGTGAAGCAAAATTATGGTCATCTTATACCGTTTTATGTTAAATTCAGATTCGTCGGTCTCCATTTAAATACATTTGTAATTGACAAAATACAAGTGAATTAAAATTAACGTGAAATATTAAGAAGATATAAACGTTCAACATAGGATACAACCACTTAAAACTAAAAGTGTAGAGTAAAATAAATTTACACATAAATTATATGGATAAAAATTTTATTATTTATCCATGCACAGTGTAAAAATAAGATTGATGATATACATATTAAAGAGCAAGTAGTACATATAAAGAATATATAGATAAGGAATGATTATTGTTTATAAATACTAATTCCAATACTTTCTAAGGCCGTAATCAAACTGAGTTTGATCATTGTGCTATAGTACCGCTGACTTGTACAAACAACGATACAACTACGATTACATAATAGAAATTTCGAATTCACACAATACAAATAATGATATATCACTTAAAATGAATAAAACATGATACAACGAAGTAAGCGTGTTCTTGTAGTTTGTCTAATCAGAACTTAAGTATATTTGTCCGATCAATTCCTTTTTACAGATGGCCTTTTTACAGATTTCTCTTCTGTATGTGAAATTACATTTCTTGTTAGGTACATACTTAAAATTACAGCCCTGTAACTGACTAGTATTTTACGTTTTTTGGCCAAATATACACGAATGTGCGTCGCTATACGATACTTTATGTTCTAAACATCCCTGAAACGTTCAATTAAATTACAACAATTTAACTCGCGATCCAGTTTTACGTTTACAAGTTTACAGTTACCTCATGTTTTCACCCTAGAACCCACTTTAATAAAGCCATTTCGAGATTTACCATTTCTTACTTGACTGCTGTTTTTTGCTTTACGATGCTCAAATAAAACGTCGTCAGAATCTGTGTCCGATTCAGATAATACCATTTTATGCGTTGAAACTACCAAACAAAAAACAAATGACATACAATTAAATCATGCAAAATTACTGTAAATTAAGATAGAAGAAAGAGAGTAATACATGTGCTACTATCATCTTCCGGTTCCGGTTGCAAAAGAGAGTAACGAGGGGGTTTCTTCTTCGCACGGAGGGAACGGCGTTTACCTGAACATATTCTTTGGCATAGGCAAACAAGACCCCAAATAAGACCAACCCAACACACAACCAAGGACAATAATGCTATTATAACGTAAAGAATGCTCCAATCTGAAAAAATTTATTTCTGAGATATATAAATTCATTTTAATTTTGAATCTAAATTTATCAAACATTAATTATACATACCACAATTAGAATCGCCATTGCCAAAATATTTCTGTATTAAATTTTGCATCCAAAATGCTTCGCACATACATAGTCTTGTCTCCTGATCACATACTCCATGACCTATTTAAAGATAAGTTTTATATAATAAAAAGAAAGAATACTTTCGATAACATGGTTAATGGAAAATACTCACCTGAACAATTATTTTGACATACAGCGGTATCAATATTTGCAACTGACAATTGAAGAAGTCCAGAATCTTGTTTTAATTTTTCTTTCAGTCGTTTGACTACTTCCGGTCCAGGCATAGTCGTTTTCCGTCCCTTCTTTTCAACGTAGAAAACTAGAACCGCTCTGCCCGTATGCGGTTCTGCTCTCAAATTTCGAACAACAATTGATGCTTCGTCTCGTAGTAACATTTGCAATTTTACTACTAATGAATTTTTTTGTGATACTGTCAACATATTGGCTCCAATATTCAGCGTCAATTCAACCAAATGTAATAACTGTGGATCTACACGTAGGATAATTAATTTGAGTAAATAATAATTTTTTCCTTTTGCCTCTATTACTTACCAGTTTTTACTATTACGGACACAGTATCCTCACTGCTAAGACCTTGATCATCTACTACTTTTAATCTGAAAACGTATCTACCAGGAACTACATCTGTTAACTATCAAAGCAAAAGGTTTAATTGGAAATACGTATCATAAGTTAAAAATTTTCATCAATGTACCATTAAATATTATTACCATTAAAACAGGTGATTTATCCGTATCTTGGATTATAGTACCTATTGCAAGACTAGACGAATCTCTTGTCCATATCCACTCACTAATTCTTAAATCATCAGCTGATTGAGATCCATTAATAATCAATGCACTAACAGGTGCAATAACAACTTGATCACCACCTGCATTTGCTTTAGGAGGAGCATTTTTATCTATGAAGTAAAATTACATTTAAACAGATATTATTTTGAAACAGTTTTCGTGATTATCAAACAATTAAAATATATTTCACTACATACTTTGTGTAACTTTTACTTTAACAGTATCCGAGTCTTTATTTCCATTATCATCAATTACAGTTAACTTAAATTCATAATCACCCTTCGTTAATTTTGTAATGTTTGTAATTGATTCGTTCACTGCAGAAAACTCGGCGTTATTAGGTCCACTGTAAAAAGGATCTTTTATTACGTGATCACTTAATAAATTAAATACAGAAGATATAAATTTAAACATACCTAACTTGTTCCCAGTGATAAGATACAATTTTAATGTCATCTTTGCTTTTTCGGCCATCAAGTACAGTTTTGGTTTCTGGCAATGCTATGGTTATATCTTCACCAGCATCGGCTATTTGTAATCAGATACAATAATTTATTATATAAATGACGATTAAGCATTAGCTTAAGAGTAAGCTTTTTATGTAATTACCTTTTGGTGGTTTATTAGTTGGTGGTTTTACAAATACATGTACTTCAGCTGTAGAGGATTGTTCAGAATCATCTGTTACTTTGAGCACAAACGTGTACATTCCTTCCTCTAAATTAGATAATTGTAAATAGGGCGTCCTCGTGTTTTGCATATCTACTGCTTTATTCTGATCTGAAGGACTCTTTGTCCATTCCCAACTTGCTATTCCATGGTCGTCCGTGCTCAAATTACCATTAAGAGTCAATGTATTTTGGGGCAAATATATGATGATATCTTGACCTGCATTTGCACTAGGAGGGTAATCAATCACTTTCAATACCGTTATATTAGCACTTGTAGAGTTAGTAATATGATCAGAGTCTTCAACTGTTAACCTAAAAAAGTTTCATGATATTAAACAATTACAAAGGAATTATTTGAATCAATGCAATTATTAAATACGTACTTAAATGTATAATTTCCAGGTACAAGATTATCTAACTGTAAAGTAGGTGTATCAACTAAATTAGGATGATATCCAATAGGACCTTGCTGTAATTCCCAATGGTAAGAAATAACTCGATCGTCATCTTTGCTTGAAGAACCATCTAATACAGCTCCAGTATTTGGTAATTTTACAACTTGTGAAGCTGGTGAAATTATTGCAATTGGTGCCTGATTTATTCTCTTTGCTACAAATAATAACAAAGTTATTAAATTGAAATCATTATAAAACAAACAAATAACTATGTGTCAGATAGAACTTACGTGGCAAAACACTGACATTTGCATATGCTTCTCCAAAAGCATTTGGACTATTCACTGTTACTTTAAATGTATATAAGCCTTCAGAAAGGTTGCTTAACTTAACAGTCATTCGATTCTGATCAGTCATTGTACCAGTGTGGCCTTCAGGTTGACTTAAAAGACTCCAAGCATAGTTATAATGTTCATTTTCCTGCTCTGCAGGCACAGTATAGGCAGACAATGTTACTTCATTTTCTGGTAAGCGTACTTCTTTCGAAACTGCAGAAACTAATAACTGTTTTATAGGTGGTTTCATAGATGTACTGGAATCCTTTATGTTTTGTACCTTTACTTGTGCTGTTACACCAAGTTCCATATCCTCTACTAAAGTACAAGTACCTACCAGAATGAATACAAGTTAGAATGCAAATATAAAGTACATTATAACATACATAATAATCATTGTAATTACCTGCGATATTACGTTTAAATCCAATGGAACATTCACAAATTCCAACATCAGATTTATCATTATTTTTGACACATACTTCATTTTCTAAACAATTTGATTTGGTAATGCAGCTTATCTCACTTGATTCACCAAAAAGTACACGATCTGTTTCTGCACCATCCATAAGCAAGCCTCTATAAACATCAAATATAAAAGTATACATGTTTAACAAACTTAAAAGAGAACCCAAGAAACTATGTATAAAAAAATGAAATTTACCCAGTATCATCATTTATCTGATCTAATAATATATTCCATATTTCATCATCTTTCACTGGTTTAACCAGAACCATACTAGGTGGATTATCGATTGCTAAATCTTTTCTATATAGAGGTACACATATTTGGGAACTTTCGCACTGCACATGGTAACAAGTACCATTATGCATAAGTGCCACATTACATGTGGGTTCAGTACAACATACACCTACACAATGTTTTATACCACTTAAATGTGGTTGACTAGTATATATTCCACTAGAAAGATTTCCACGAGGTGTATAACTCGTGAAAACTCTGGGATATAGTCCGGGACACATTTGCCATTTTGTAGCCCAATCAGGATAATCACCAATACAGCTTCCAAAGAACAATAAGTACAATCCCAGATAAAGGATTTCAAACATTTTAAACTGAAAGAAGGATGAACACAATATATTTTGTGTTATGTTTTATTAAAAAATGTTCTTACCTTGATGACGCGAACGTTGATGTCGAAATAATGAAGATTAAAATTTTTTAGATAAGTTTTCAGGTTATTTTATGAAACATCTGTCACCTTCTGAATTACTTTACTATCAAACACTGACCGCAGACTGTCGAAGGAACGTCTTGTTGGTATTAATTCTAACTTGTGTGCAGACGTACACGGCACAAGCTTATCATATATTAGCAGCATGTTATTATCAACACCAGCAGCTAATCAACTATAGGGGCAATTATCATATTTCCTGTTACACCGGAATACCAAAAGGTCGGAAAAGAAAAGGCGATAAAATTTAGCGCTAATAGTTCGTTATCACAATAATATTGATAGAGTCGTTATTTAGCACCGTTTTTCGATAAATTCAAGGAAATAATCGTCGTAAAATTCTGCACATTATTATCATTTGACAACTTGTACACCTGTGTCATCTACACTTCAAAATATACGTAGAGGTCGACACCGGTATAAATAATCATCAAATAATGTTGTAATTAATGAAATTGTTATATTAAACTTTAATTATATTATTCGCTGCCACGAACGTATGGCCACATGATTAATTTAAAAATATTATGTCTGTTGTACTCTATGTAAATTAAACAGCTTACACGCCTTATCATTCTTGAATACATAAAAGTGAAATGAGAATGTCTTATATCAAGGGAAATGTTTTTAAATTTCTATCCTATCCTTATAATCGTACAGACATATATATAAGTAAACTCATTAACTATTTCTTATTGAATACTTTTTTATGCTATTTCTGATAAAGATTTAAAAAGAACACATGTGTTTTTCAAGCATGAAATTATATTTGCCTACTATAGAATGTTTATACAAAATCGATAATAAGTTGTATAATCGGAATTACAATGTTAATGTTGTAATTTGTGTTGCGAAATATTAAATGTCGGTATATTTTCATTTATATGTAGAATATTCTTAAATTTCCCGGGATGAGTGCGCAGAAGAGAAGCGTATAAAAATGTCGACAGTAGCGTCATCGACGAGGTATTCGTTAAATACTCTTTACGGCCATGCAACCGGAAAGAGGTATATACGAGCAACACAAGTTTACCGAGTTCATCGTGGGTGGGCTGCAAGTGAGCACAACGTGTGTGTGGTCCAGGCGTTGTTCGTATGCTGGATGTGGCTGTCGCTAACGTAGAAGATGCAAGACGCGCCGCTTTTTGTTCGAGCGAAACGGAGAGGAGCTTTCTCCGTGACAGACTATAGTTACTTGGAAAATAATTTTGGCAGTAGCTGGAAGTATGGCGATGGTTGGAAAAATAAAGGGGAGGAAGTGAGAGAGAGGATTTTGGGGTTGGGACCTGCTATAGTGGGATTCGTTAATAAGGCATTCTAGTAGCAGGTCCGTACCTTAGACGCGGGTAATGTGGTAGGGATGGACAAGAACGTTATATAGGAATAGGAAGGTTCATCGAGCACTAGCGAGAAAGCCGGTCTCGATATTGTGCGCTGTCTAGTGGCGACAAGCGTAGGAGTAAGCCGCCACATAATTGGTCTTTAGTTGTGAGTAAAGCGTCTTAAAGAATTACTTTTCTTAAGAAATACTTGTATTGTTTATCTCGGCATTCTACACGTGATGTTTTGTTTTTAATTGAGCCAATAGCGTGCCGGAACATGATATTTAAAAAAAGTGATACGAAATTGAAATTGTTCTAATGTAATCAAACTTTTTTCAATATTATGAATATTAATTTCGCTCTTTTTTTAGATGACGCTTCAGTTGATATGTTGCTTTCTAATTTTGCATCGAGTATCATCAGAATTAACGCACAGTTTCGCCGCAAATTCCAATGGTGAAAATGAAACATGGAAAAGTGTGGACTTGAGTCCCAGGCACATGATCAAAGATTCCAGTTACCTGCTGGACAGGTACCCTATAAGAGAATTACCATCTGATTCTTTGAATTGCCGTAGACCTGCAAAATGTGTAGAAATGCAAAGAAGTACTTGTATGGGTACAAGATTACCATATACTACTACTACATTGGATCTTATACCTGAACATATAACTCAAGATATTATAGAGGTATATTACATTGATATTTTTTTTTATTTAAATAAACATAATTTTGTATATTAATTACTGTGTTTTTATTTTATTTTCCAGGAAAAATTACATGTCTTACAAGCATTAAGGCATATGCCAAAGTGTTGGGCAGTTGTCCAGCCCCTTTTGTGTTCAATATTCATGCCAAAATGTATCAATGATACAGTAGAATTACCATCTCAGGAGATGTGCAAAATGGTTTCAGGACCTTGCAGAATTATTTTTAATCATACCATATGGCCAAGCTTTATTAAATGTGAAGACACAGAATTATTTCCTAAATTATGTAAAAATGATATCAGGGAATTGAAATTTAATATTTCTGGCAAGTGTCTGAAACCTTTGGTTCCAACTGATAATGCACTTGCAATTTTTGAAGGAGTTGAGAGTTGTGGAACACAGTGTAGTGACCCACTTTTTACACCAGATGAACACAAACAAATTCATTCTTTTATTGCTTGGGCTGCAGGAATTTGTGGTTCATTCAATTTATTTACAGTTGTAAGTATTGTATGATGGAAAGCATACAAGCAGATAACATTATACTTTATTTATATTAAATTTTAGGTAACTTTTCTAATTGATTGGAGAAGTGCAAATAAATATCCAGCTTTGGTTATATTCTATATCAACTGTTGTTTTATGATGTCCTGCATTGGTTGGCTCGTTCAGTTTACACCAGGAAGCAGAGAAGTGATTGTGTGCCGGAAAGATGGAACATTAAGAATGAGTGAACCAAGGTAATTTGCAATTTTAGAGTGTTCTTACTTTTATGTGTAGTTATTGAATCAAACAAATTCCCAATACTAATGTATTTTCAGTGGAGAAAACTTATCATGTGTCGTAGTGTTTGTCCTTGTGTATTATTCACTTATGGCAGCTATGGTATGGTTTGTCATCCTTACATATGCTTGGCATATGAGTTTCCAAGCATTAGGCAAAATCCAAGACAGAATTGACAAGAAGGGTGCTTATTTTCATTTAATTGCTTGGTGTTTTCCACTTGTTCTCACTGTCACCATTATGGCATTAGGGGAAATAGATGGAAATAGTGTTACTGGCATTTGTTTTGTGGGTTATGCTAATCATGCAGTCAGATCTTGGTTTTTACTTGGACCTGTACTAATTGTTTTACTAGTTGGAGGATATTTTTTATCCAGAGGTATGTTTCAAATATACATTTGTTTTATTTTGTTTATGTGATCAAAGTAATGAAACGTATTTTCTTTTGTGCTTTCCTAAAGAATATAGTTTGTAAGTATTTTTTCCTTAATAGCAGTAATCATTCAAACTTCAACTTCTGGTTATGTAACATAATTTAATTAATATTATTATTTACATTTTTAGGATTAATTACTTTGATTCGGCTAAAAATAAGTAGTCAAGAAATTATATCCGAGAGAGCAAGTGCTAAAATACGGGAAACCATCGTGCGCATGGGTTTATTTTCGATTTTCACATTTGCTGCAGTTGTTGTAACTTTTTATTGTCACATTTATGAATTCCAACATTCTTGGGAATGGCGTCAAAGTTTCAGAAATTACATGATGTAGGACCAATATTGATAGAATAATTATATTGTACTATCACGCATAGAACTCTTTTAACATCTTGCCTTATTTATTTACAGATGTGCAATAACAACAAAATATTTGGATATTTCCGAATGTAAAATGGAGATTCGACCGAGTGCTGCAAAGATGCAGTTACATTTACTTTCTCCATTCTTTGCCGGTATTTTAATGTCTTCTTGGGTTTGGACTGGTTCAACAGTAGACACCTGGACTAGATTTCTTAGGAGGTAAGATGGTAGCAATTTTATGTTCTTTTATATTCAACTATTACTGTTTGTTGAATCTACATTTTTATTATTAGAACTTTTAATTGTGAGACGGAAGAACCTATCAGATTAAAGAAACACAAAGTTATTGCTCAAGCATTTGCAAAACGGAAGACATTCAACAATGCTGGAAGACTGTCAATTAGTTTTCATAATACACATGAGGATCCTGTTGGTTTGAATTTTGATCTGAACTCTGTAGCTTCTCAAGACTTCAGCTCGACTTGGGCTGCTGCTTTGCCAAAACTAGTTACACGTAGAGGTGCACTTGTAGGTGGCACTACAGGTTCTGTGTCGAGTAACAGAAGAAACTCCGTGGACTCTGAGATTAGTTTTAGTGTACGTCGGGTATCTGTGGAGTCTAGAAGAAACTCGTTGGACTCCCAGATATCTGTTCAAATAGCCGAACTAAAAACAACGCGAAAAGTTGCGAGCAGCTCACGTGGCCGTCGCGGAAAGCGACGACGAGATTTCGGAAAGTCAAGATCTGGCAAAGTGGGACCATTATTTAGAAGGGGTAGTACGACATCGCAAGAAAGTCAGCTTGGTGCTCAAATATTGTCCGCATTAACCATCGGCGGCAATTCGAGAGTACCGCCGGTTCAAGTGCCTAATATGAAGAGGCGGTCAGCAAGTGCTGGTTTAGATGAACGCACTCTGAATTCTAAACTGTTCGATGGAAAGAATGCAGGCATGCTTTTACCGTTCTTATTTCCGGGACAGAGTGGTAGCGACGAAAATTTAAGCAGTGAGGAGAAACGGCATCAAGGAATGTCGGGAAAGGATGTGGATATTGAAGCTGGCAACGCAGAGAAAGATGATCACGATAGCGATAGCGAAGACAGTCAACCAGAAGAGGAAACAAAAATGCTAGATCCTGAAGAACCGCAGGAGCGCAGCAAGAGCAAAAGTAGTAATAAAAGTTCCAAAAGTTATGGCCATGAAAGTGACAGAAGGAGCAGGGAAGGTCGAAGAAGCAAATATTTATTGCAGGATGAAACCATTTTGAAACATCTTTTCCAAGAGTCCAGTGACATAAAATTAAAAAGTGATGCAGAAATAAAAGAAATATATCGGAAAGCAGGAATAGGTAATCTGGCGTCTAGTCTTACCTCGTGTTGCCCTGAATTAACCAGGCTTATGCAATGCGAAGGTCAAAACACTAATGCTCGAGAAATGGCAACACAAACTTCTTTACCATTAGATATTCTTGAAATGGAAGAATTGAAACAAAGTATAGACGAAATTATCAACAGCCGACACTGCAGTTCGAAAGGGACGCAAATTTCACCGCAGCTAAATAAGAATAAAAATATCACTACGTAACTACTACAAGACATCATTAGCGGTAATGAGGCATATGTGGTAACGAGGCATATGTTGTTTAGTTTTTTATACCATCAACTAGCATTAGTAATCGAAAAAAAATTAGTTCTCATGTAAATTTATACATATACATATATTGTGGTTATCGCTCATTCTCTCGACTTCTGTTTTGAGAGTGTGACTGCATCAAAGTAAATGTAATGGATTCTTTAATTACTTAAGGTTACAGTATTTCTTGAAAAAGGAAGCGGACGTAATAGTGCCAAAATTACACTTAATTTTTCGTATTATTTGTAACTAGGTGTAGATTTAATAGGGCAATAGCGTTTGATTGTATATAGTATTTTAGAGTAACTTAGGTATAACAATGCATTTACTTTTACACTTTTTATTATCAATGAGACTGTGGTAAAATTTCACTATCGTAAAAAATAATTCAATTTACGATAAGTATAAATGTATTATAAACATAATTTCTTTTTATACGGTACAATCTAAAATCTATTTTTAATATTGCTCTATCGATTACAGTATTTGTAAAATATTTATCCTATTGTACTTAGAGTACGTACAACTTGTTTTTTTATACATATACGCATAACTTCATTTTAGAATCTCGAATTTACATTATCATTTACCGCGCGTTTTTCGAAAGCTACTCGTTAGTTTATATTTTAAATGTAGTATTCGAATATATTCTAATGTAGCTAAATAATCTAACATCGATAACAAATACATTAAACTCATTCTTTGATCATTGTATCGTAAACTGATGAGTATATAAATGGAATAATATTTTTGTTTAAATATTTTCTTACGCAATAGACGAACTCGTTGACTTTTTAACGTTATACTTTCATAGTATGTATATAAGATATTGTCCAACAATTTGATAACTCGGTGTACGATTACTTCTCTACAGGATCTTGAATATCACTCTTATTTATGAAAATGATTACTGTTAATCTTAAAACGTATCCGCATCAAATGGGATAACCCTAAAATATCCGTGTGATTATTATACATCACTCTGAAACTACCTCAGTGAACATTTATTACGAGGCTCGCTATCATATATGTAATTATAGAAGAGGGTCTACCCGTTATCGATAATTGATATTTTCTACGTACAGTTTAACGCGGACTTTCTGCGTTCCGTCCAAATTTATCCACAGAAAGTGTTAACTATTTTCAATGTACAAGTATCTCAATATATCTTAAGTTCGCATGTAACAATCATGTTGTTTCAAATTCATAAACACGTATTAAAAACAATGTTTTTATTCGATTTTGATTTAAAATTATAGTAAAAAAACAAACCCTGTATTCCTTGTCGATTAAACACTTTGTTTTTGTATTTCGTACAAAAAAGAAAGATATTCGAATTTGATTTCGCGAGCAAGAAAATGATTCTTAGAAACATCTCTTGCTGCGCTAATCTGTCTTTGTGTCTTCTTTGTAATGATGAGCAGGTACATTCATTAACAATATCTGTTCGATCGGTCCGCAAAAGCACGGTCCTCTTGTTTGATTCGCCATTTTCTTATGCTTTCAAATCCGGTCCGATATTCTCGACTACGTATTTGTTTCCTACACTCGATACAAATACAGCCGGATTTTAGTTTCGAGAAAAAACGTGTACAAATTGTGTGCGCGCGTGTGTAATACACATCCTCAATTTTCGACGTGTATACCCTTTTAAGTTTTTGTTTGTTCTTCTTTCGTCACTTTCCATTTACAGTGGAGTCCCGCTATATTACTCTTTTTTATTCGATGCTATATTACTCTTTTTTATACAACAGAAATTTGACTATCAAAGTTATATGGAAGGAATTCCATGTGTCATGGACTTTTGTGCAATGTTCTCCATTCAAGGCCATATAGCGAGACTCCACTGTATTCAATTACAAAGTCAGAAAATAACCAAAGTGATTCAACGTATAAAAAGAACAATGGTAATTATTGCAGTACGTGTACAGTGTACATATGTGTGTTTGTTGACGGTGATTTCTGTCGCACAATTTACATCAAACAAATAGTGCACATTGTGTATGCCATTACAATGATTAGTCATCCCTTTCTGCATCGCATTCAAAATTTCAATCAATCATTTACTAGCTCCATTAATAGCCATGTTCTCTCATCAGTGCGTCGATTAAAAAAAAAATGCACTCCTTTACATGCATCATTATAAACAATTTAATTAAATGGGTCGTGATCATGCTGTAACTTTCGCAATGGACGGGATTAAGGATTTAGGAGGTAGAAAACCTTTCGTCATTTTATTTACCACCACCTTTAATGCAAGGAGCAGGGGTAAAGTAAGGTCGAAATCAGCTGCTAATTCCCGGGCGAGGCTACTTGCTCTTAGCATGAGATTTTTGATGTTTAATGTATTCGTTACCCCAGAAGAAGTTGTCCATCGTTTCTCCAAAAATATAAAGGATTATATTATATATCAGCATCGTGGCCACAAATAGGCATCGTGTTGGCAATGTCAAAACGTGGAATATCGGGTATACCCAAATACCACTTTTGGCATATATTATAAGCATCCTGAAAAAGTTTTCCAAATTGTGGTCAATCAGTTTGTATAATTACATCCAGGGTGATTCAGCTAAAGGTTTCCATTAAAATAATGTAACATCCTAAGCTGAATCACCCTGTAAGCATGATTGCAAGCTAACGATTTCATTGGAACTTAATATAAGTAAATTAATGATGACGTACCAAACGAAATAAATCAACATAAATGCGACGTTCGCTAGGCTACCCTTTAACCGCTTCGGATAGTTTCTTGGTGATATGATCGTCTCTATTATAATCGAAACCATAATCATCGTGTGCATTAGATGATTCAACCACCATGGAAAGTACGGATCAAGTACTTTCGGGAATACCAATTCACGGTCTACGGCGTACAGAGACCAGAAAATTGTCGCGACAAACTGTAATGTTTACAAAAAAGTAGTACAAAAAATTACAGAACGAACTTTCGTATTTTTTATCGTTTTTCATTCTTACCATCGCGGTTGGGAAAGCAAGGACCGCATGAATACGGTCTTTCAATCGACGTATAAACGGGGGTTTCTTGGGACTGGCGGCATTCGTGCCGAAACAATCGTTTATTATGCATATTAAAAAGAACACTGTTTGAATGATCTGAAACAAGTAAACAGTTTTACTTAATCAACTTGTATCTCGCATCGTAACCATAAGAATCCTCACGCAACGCGAAGGACATACATCAGAGTAAACATTTTTCAAATTGTCTAATTCAAAAATTTCCTACTTCTCAAATTGTTAAATGTACAAATTCTAAACTTTCCAAACTACCAAATTCAATCAGAATATTGCTGTGCTGACATAAGAATATTTCAAATTATATAATGGCAACCACTTGACGACCTATTGATAGCACATCACGTGCCATAGTTCTGAAGTGACATGGAGTGGCACTTGGTCAGTTGAGCTTTGCTCTTCTACGAGCTTTGCACTTCGTGTTGTTATTGTCAACTAGTCATAAGCATGAACACTTATTGTAAGTGAGCATCTAACTTTTCTGCATTGCTAATAAAATTAATGACGAGACAAATATTGAAGCACTCTTAAAAAGTGACCGCGTTTTTGTCCTAATTTTTTTAATTGCAAGTGTACTATGGTATGTGTTCTTGTGACTGTTTTCACTATTACGTAACACGGTAATAAGATCGTGCCGCAATCACTTGATAGAAGGAACACGCGCGCTAGAGACACTAAAATAAGATAGCTTAGTTCTTTAAAAAATACGATAGGTCATGGCATGTTGCTTAAGTTTATTTAAGTAGCTTCCAATAATTAACAATTACTCGTTAACTCATATGGAGCACGTCACGACTGATAATTACTGTTAGTCATAACACACAGCATTTTTTAGCCTTATAATGGCGTTTTATCATGTACGTAAACATCAGTTATCAGTAACAGACTGGCTTTTAAAGTGGATTTGCATGTTTATCGAGCGTTAACAAATTACGTAAGACCGCTGGACAGATTAATGTAAGAATAATTAAGGCCGGATCACAGGGTTATGATACTAACCGCATCCCAAAACGTGAGAAATTTGAATTTCCCGCCGAAAGCGTTGTGCGTTCGAGCGATATCTGATGGTATAACGACATGCGTGTAATCATAATACACTGCAAAAGCATACTGCAGGCAAAAGATCACGTGGAATCCAACTCGTAAGCCTTCCCGCATCTCATAAGTGTGTCAGTCTTTTCTATATACTGAAACGATTTAACAAGTTTCCATGATAACGCCTATACTCGTCGAACGTGATCATGTTACACAATACTGAATTATAAGGAGATGATTTAACAAGCGACTCCTCTCTAAAAGTGTCGTCATGCTGTGTCTATATTTTTTAAGCAAATCAATACAAAAATGAAAAAAAAGTATGCGAGCCCTCTCGCTTGGTAACTCGAGAAACGTGAAACGAGTTCCGTTCGGAATTTTTGGATCCCCCATTTTTTATTACGATGAAAAGTTTTCTTCGACGCCATGGCAATGTATTAACAATTTAGACTATCGTTAAAATATCATACGTTAAACGTGATTTTATTTTATTTATGCATCGATAAATATTCATCGATATTTATGTTTCTATTTAACGTACAATGTTAACCAGGTATTCATTAATGTTAACGACATTTTTATTGTAAATAAAATATGTAAATTAATAGTTGTAAGATTGATCAATTGAGTGAGCGATTGATTATTATATTGATTAATTAAACGTCAGTGCACTGTACTCTCGAATTACGTAAACTGTTCGCTTTATAACAGTGTAGGAACCTATGAGATGCTGAACTTTATGATGTAGAAAATTATACATATCATAAAGTTCGATCATTAAAAAAATTTGTTTACTTGATCGTGTATTATCTTTCGATAACTTTTAACATTAAACTTTATCTGAGAAAAATATGGTTAAGAAAATAATTAAAACGTAGAATGATAATTCATTATCGAAAAAATAAGTTTAAATATTTCAATTATAAAAGACATAAGTCTAGCTTTAGCTAACTCAGGAAAAAAATTTTTGTTATTTACAATGATACCAATGTTGTATATTAATAAGGTAAATTACTACTTCCGGTTTGTTAATAACGAACTGCAGCATGGACGATGAAGGTAATCTCAATCGGTACAATTTGTTGCACAACCTTTCGCTGTTATTTATTTAATCACAATTAATAAAGTCGTAGCATTCGAAGCAAGGTTAAAGTCTAAAAGCTGTATCTTCAAATGGTGAAACCTACTGATAAATTTAATGTTCCTAACGGTACCGAAGGACAAATAAGTTAATCGCTAAAATATACAAAATACAAGAGTTACTTTAATTAGTAACATAAAATATATAATGCAAAAATGTAATTTCATAGTATTGTAGTAATTGCAGAAAAAAATGGGAGATCCATTTTGATTATGTTTGTGAACATTATGAACATTGTGAAAATTTATGAACGTTATAATTTTAAATATCATTTACACAGACATTTTGAGCGTACTTATCAGAGTCTCCACGTATTCTAAGTAACTTCCTAATTTCGTTTCCTGACGTCAATCGATTTCTTAATGTTCGTGAATAGAATTTAATTATCCACACTGGAAAACACTTGGTCTTTTTTCGATCACATGTACGGAGCCTACACAATCAGTATCGACCGCGTCAAAAGGCCGCGACTTACTGACGGATAGGCGAAAATATAGCTTGGGAAAGAGAGAAGTATGTAGTTCGCCATGTACATGTGGCTCGTAAACTGTGTGTACAAATCAAGATTCGTGCGGCTTAGTGAAACGAAGAGAGAACCGGAAAGAGGAGAGAGAAGGCATAGAAAAAGGAAGAAGAAACCATACACGCACACTATTTAACCAAATATTGGTGATAATGTGTACGATCGCACCCGGCAACACTACCACGTTTTGTCTGTTACCAACAGAGCTGTCGTATTGGCAAAACTTGTATTTGTAAGTGGCACAACGTTTGTAATTTTCGGTTTTCTTAAACTGCAACGTGAACTGCGTTCGCCAACAAATAAATAAATAAAAAAAACGTAATGTGGCAAGAAAAGGCAACATTTTCGAACAAATATGGGCGTGTACGAAACAGAGAGAAACTAGAATCATGTAAAGACAGAGATACAAGGTACAGCTGGCGACTGTCCTTCTGCGCAAACGGGATGCGCAGGTATTTTCGTGGGTAGAGGCGGTTCTTCGGTTCTGTTTCGTTTTTTATTCTTAGAATATGTTGACTTTCTTATCAGCACTTTTTGAAACTAATGCTTTTGATAAATTTTGCTAAATACAAAAGTTTCTATCGCTGCTGAATACAAATGTAAAGAACTTGTTTCAACTCAACACGCGCTTCCTAATTGAAACTTAACGAGAAGTTGAAGACTACGCAGAAGAAAAATGCTGTAATGTATTACGTGCTTTGCTTTCTATTATTATGCAACACTTATATCTATAAAACTAACAAAGTAGTCATTTTAATAAACTTTTTAAATATTCATAGTAATTTTATTATATGTTTCCTTAATTTCATTCAGAAATTATATAAGAAATTATTTGTTTTTCCTTCGGTTGCGTGCTAACGCTACAATAGTATACTTTCAATGAACTCTGTTTCAATTCTGTGACACTGTTTTGGAAACAATGAGTATTACGAGAAGGTGTTATTCAAACAAAACAAACGTATTCTGTTATACATGTGGTAATTACTGAATGGACAACCGTGTATTTATGAGCCACACATGCAGGATTTCGAATCGTGTTACGTTTCGATTACACTGATCGAACACAGACAGAGTGCCATCTACTGACGTTCCTGATACTATTTAAAGTTATAAACACGTTTAAAATTTTGTTTAAATCTGATTTAAGAGAATAAAATTTAATTTTTAGAATAATTTGTTCTACTTTATTTTAATTACATAGCAGCTCTATCTATCAAAAGTAAATAGTAAATGTTATCGTAAATATTAAATGATTTAATAACAAAATTTTATTGATAGCAAAAATATGTATATTACTTACCAAGTTCCAAACTGTTAAATATCTCGCCTGCCCTACATCGAAATTTTTGAATTGTTCAGCTGCTATAGGAATTTTCACCGAAACCGCGCTGTATACCGTGAATACGTATGTCAACAACGCTGTCGTGTGAAACAATTGATTTATGGTGAATGTCATTGTGATGAAGTGCTACAAGTAAAAAATAATGTGTTAAAATAAAATCTTTACCACTCAACAATAATTCTTTTTGTTATTGCTACGTTTGTTTAGTATTCTGTCATTTTTGCCGTCATAGGTTAGGTGTTAATTAATACGTGACATTTCTTGACAAGAACACTTCTACGATATCTTTATTTACCTACAATGTTATTCTTATCTTCTTTTTATCATCTTACTAAATGAATTATTTTTATTTTTTATCTTGGAAAGACATAACACGATGATTTAATATTAATTAATATCGTTTCACTGAAACGTCAATAAGACAAAAGACAGAAATATAACAAACAGTACAAATATTTAGATTTATGCAGCGTATTAATATTAACTTTATTATCATAAATACTTAGTAGAACAATATAAATGTTTCAATAGTCATGTGCCGTTAATCCGTGATAATTGACAGTAGAATATACGTTGATCATTATTTTTTAATCTACATGTTTTGACTAACGTAATTTTGTGCAAGTGTTGCAATCAAACAATGAAAAAAATACCTTTGCATTCACCGTGAAATTATATTTACAAATAGTATCCTTAATTAATTATTCTTTCCAATGTCTGAGATACATAAACATATGCTATACGCCGTCGATGTAAATGACGACAATTACTGTATAATCCATGAAATAATAGACGGGCGGAAATCCTCACGGTAATGTACTGTATGTACGTTATGTGTACCGCAGTGACAGTAAAAATTTTATATTCGTGGCAATAAATTTATCTTTCGCGACAATGATAATGACTCATGATATTTAAACCGAAATCACCGTTAATCCATACCTGACCGGCGTGTTAAGGTACACGTCCGAATACATTTTCTTATATACAGTCTAATTTTCTTTCTCTCTTTTGCAATGTTCTCTCTGTTCGATGGATCGTTTTCACGGGGTTCTCAAATCGGAGATATAAGAATATAATAGAATTTTTTGACAGATGGAAAGTAATTAATACATACTAATGTTCCTTGTCAGTTCCCGCCGAAATATAGCGTAGTCGTAAACGTCGAAGGGACTCTGCGGGTGTGACGTGTTCTCCAACACCGAAAATTGACGATGTCGATTGAGAATGCAACGCATAGAAGCGTATCAACTCCACTGAGCGATCGGACGAGCTCGCACTCGTACTTATGGCTTTCGCGAAAACACAGTGTGGTTACATTCGTTATACTTCTTCAGTAACAAATACATATTTAATCCATAGTGTTGGTAAGCATTAAGATTGTGTCTGAACTTCAGGTTGAATTCAGAAAAAAATTTTCGCTGTATTTAAGAAGTTATCGGACACATATTTTCACTTCACTTTGATTTTTCAGTACAGGTAACCGGAAATGAAATACGAGTTTTTTACTGACGGATCAGGTTTACGACCGCACTACAATTCGGCGAGAACTGTACAAAGAAACCTTGTCACGTTATCATATCGTCGCTTTGAGAATCTTATGAAAGTTTTGTAGTAAACAAAAAGGGTATACGGAGAGACAGAGACAGAAAATAAATTGTGAGTGGGGTAGGTAGATGTGTAGGTGTATATACATATCTATACTTACACTCACTCGCAAATCTTTGCGTCATCATTGATCAGTATCGTTGCAAGAAGTAGAAATGATACTTTTTTTACCTTAAGATTATAAATATTCGGTTTTTTATAAATAATTTTTTTTTAAATATAAACCAGTTGGTTAACATCAGTCATCTTGGTACTCTTGTACATATTTAATGTATATTAAGAATTTATAATGGCTTGTGCATAATTTTTTAAACTATAACTATTACGTCTTCACATAGATAATAGAAAATGTACATTCATCGTTTTAGATGAATTCATTCATGTTCCAAGAAAAAATCAAATATATGGTGTTACCAATTTAAGGTAATTATAAAGCTACTTAATTACATAAGACAATTATAAAGCCACATTTGTTACACAATTCATTATCTGAACTTTATACCGTACAATTTTATTTGTACAAGAGTACAGATAATACAATATATGTAGAGTGTGATATAAAGCGTTTTATATTTCGCGCAAGTTACTAGTAACGCCCTCCAGTTTCAATTAACATAACTAACTTTTCCGTCATACTAGTTACCATAGTTGCAAAATAAAGAAATCGTACCACTATCACAATATACAATTTTAAATCGTAATATGGCACCTATTGTATGTTGCGTTTATTCAATTAAGATTTGTTATATTAATAAAAGATTATGATAAATATCAAGCTTGTTCTGTTATGTAATATATTTTGTACCATGAAATATTTTCAATAAAAATCGGTAACAATTTTCATAGTTTCTTTGTTAGCAACGAACACGTTCCTGTTGGTAGCTGCATGATTCATAGATGGCTCACAGTCAAGTCGGTTAACTGTCAGTTTCGAATAGCCAGTTTCGCGCCGAACGTGCAACGTGCACCTCATGAAGCGTCAAAACTTCTTTCTTTCGTATTTTATAGTTTCGAAGAATAATTTACCCGTGTGTTCGCGTTTAAATAGCAGTACGTCTTTCTCATTTTCTCGGTGCAGTGGTTAAATTCGATGTGTCATTTGTGGTTAGTGTCATTCGATACGAAACTATACCGCTGACGTAGCACAAACAGGTAACTATAAACTGCATTTATGACCTGACGCAAGTAAGAAACGAGAAGTTTACTGTCACTGTCATGATCTATTGATGCACGCATTTATTTACAATGGAAATTGAGTATATTAACGTTGAATTGTATATGTATATATGTGTGCATAATAATTTTGAAAGGGAACGTTGTTAAATGTTAAAGTGAATGAGAAGGGATCAGGTAGCGTCTTTAGTATATAGGGTGTCTCACGCAACACCTGACACGATTTTTCAAGTACCTGCGATAAATCGCCCAATTAAAAGATTTGAATATACCTGGTACTAATTAAGACTAATTACTCCTTCATCCATGGTACAATCATTTCTCCTTAAAAAGAATAATGACGCAATTATATTCTACCTACATATGTATGTGCTTACATACTTTCCTTTTCGTTTCACAACTTAATTCGCGATGTTGTATTTCCTTGAACAGGTGGCGGGGAAGAAATTAATGAGAATTAAACATCACGCAATTCATAGAAGGAGTTAATAAATATACTGTTGTTTTCACAGTACATTACGATTTTGGCAATTACGTTGACCACTGTGTAAATGTAAGATTGATATTTTTAATATATTAATAAAATATTTAGAATAAAATATTGATAAGTTTCTTGCTATTATGATACTAGAACGATCTCAATTGAAAATCAGCAAAGTTAAGAACCAAGGGAAAAATGGGTTGCGACCACATTTGACGGCGTCAAAAGAAACCGGTAACTTCTGTCTTCTTCTTTGCCGTATACAACATGTATCTACCGTTATGTTGCGTAACATATGGCAGCGTTACTCCAACAGATCTGTTTCCGTCCTTCGAATGTACACAAGCACACGATGCACCGCAAAAAAATCAGTAATGTATCACGGTTTCAAAACTTTATTTACGAAAAACATTGTATCAGCTTTCGCAACTATCGGTTGAATCGAAAGGTTATCGTTGACCGTTTAATAATTTGAATGTCTTATCTTGTCCACTTTCTGACATCGTTAAAATCTTCTGTGCAGTATTTATGTTCTTCGATTAAGTTGATACACTATCGATCGTCAAGTTTAATACACTTTCATAGGCTCGTAAATTGCTATTCGTAGTTAAGTGGTCTTAAATTTCAACGCCATTAAGATCTCTTTCAGGCGTGAATTAATCGTTTTATTGAACTCAATTGAACATAGCAATATAAGCATCAAAACTCGATTGCTGTAGTAACAAAACATAACATACGAACGAATTTCGTACTATTATGGAAGTATTAATTGTGTAAATTGTCTGTGTTTTTTAATTACTTAAACTGCATAGAATATCACATAGTTTCGACGGCATGACAACTAGTGGATTACGATACTTAATCTAAACGGCGATATCGCTGACCCTCGTCCTTGGTAAAATCGATCGATGGAAGAATTGAATGGTTTCGCGCCATAAAACAAGATCTTGTTCCTTTATCGGATATACAGTAGCGTTTCAATCACTAGATTGTTTGTCTCTAAAGTGTGAGATACTTAACTCGTTAATTCCCGGAGATTGCAAAAGTATCAGTATTATGTTTATTTTCGAAATTTCAACTCTTCCTTTTACTTTAAGACTTAACGTTTCATAACCATCTTAATATCTACTTCTTTGTGCAGATACATATTCCTACACGTAAAATGACCTTAAAAACATGTAAAGAAACGCAACGCAACGTTTTTAAATAATTGCATGACTCGACAGAGTTATTCACCTAACTTGAATTATGAATGTCAATTTTACAAGAATACAATGTTTTTTTTCTGGTATTACAGTTTACAAATTGATGCATTGTAAGTTCTCGTTACCACTATTAGTGTAATTAAAGACCAGAGGGATTCAACGTAGAATACCACATTTAGAAATTTTTAAAAGCTACGTCCGGCATGTGGCAGTAACACTACCAGTAAAGCTAATGGACCTCGCACACAAAAAACCTAGTTACGCCAATGATTATGATACACTGCGTTACACTTGTAGGTTAACGCTAGTATAATCGGATGATGGTAATGTTTGAGGACGCGTAAGAAGGAAAAGCAATCGAGTTCATCGTTTCCGGGGTGTTACGTTTGACCGAACGAAAGAACCGGATACGTTTATTCGATTAACTTTTTCTCAGAAACTTGATCGCAAGGATAAGGATTTAGTTGAACTTAGGTAATAAAATTGAACATAGATCAGCTTTTAATTTATTTTTCTTACATTAAACGACTTTTATTTACGTAGCAAATATCAAAGTGCAGGAGTTTGATTCAATCGAATAAAAACGAATTACGAAACCTTGGAGGTTAGCTCTGTAAGTAAAAGCATGCGAAATAACCTAAAAATTATTTAAGTTTGTTTTCGTTCGACGTACTAATTGTGTAATTAGATTTGATCTGGTAATATTACTATTACATATATCTTACTACGGATGGTCGCATTTTTTGGATTTACCTGACGGTTTACTTGATAGCGCAACAAGAACGATCGGTGAGTCAGCCGTACCGGTAACCGGCTTCGTCCGCCTTTTTCGCCATCTTTCTCTTTCTCACTATCACGACCAACCCTTCCCTCTCTCTTAAAGTTCTGTCTTACCCTCGCACACTACTTCTTCCTTTCTATCTCGCTCTCCTACTATCCTTTCTTCCTCCTCTGGTTTAATTTCAGCACAGGTTATTCTTTTTCTCTTTCTGTCGAACATCTTCTTTCCTCGCATTCAACGCGGTAGACGTATTCCCGTCCCTTTCTAACTGACCATTCTCTTATTTTTATTCAATTCCTTTGAAGTAGCGATGGCTGCTCTATTTTTTTATATGATACTCTCATAAATTTGCCTTACTTGAAATTTTATAGCAATTATCGTACAAGTCATCGTTTAACCATAATGATGATTACTTTACTTTCACTGCCTCGTTTAAATTTCAACACACCTACCGTTCCAAAGTACATTTGTGTTAACTTCTGAATTTTAGAATTGTGAAATTTAAAAACATTGTTAAAATTCATATTTATGTGCATACTACTTTTCATTTAGTTATCAGTTTTAGTTATTTTAGATATTTTAATTAGCACATACTTTCTTTTACATACATTCTTTGTAACTATTCTTGTTTATAATAGGAAATATTATTTTAATATCTTTGTGATCTGAAAGATTTAATGGGTTAATACTTGATTTGAACCAACACGAAGCGTCTCGAATCCATCGTTTTACCGAGCGCGATTCTCTTCTTTGTTCAACCAACAACGCATTCGTCTCTCCTTGAGTCTCCCTCACTCTTTTATTTCCCAATGCTCTAACACTTTCGAGCGAATCGCAACAGGCGACTTCATTGCGCGCGTTTGCTCGTGACTGTTCGAGCAACGAGGTTCCTTCGATACTGGAAGTCCTTTGTCTCCTTCAATTGCGAATTTCGACCGGATACGTCTAATGGTAGTGAACGAAATAATTGTGCAGTGTATTTTTACTGCTCTGTGAATCGAGACAGTTCCTTTGTTTGTGTTTGTTTAAATTATTCATCGAATAACAGTTGGATAACACAACATAGAAAGGTGTGAGTTCTATTAAGTAATATAATGATTATTACAAATTTTGTGCATTAGATTGTTAGAAATAATAGTTGTGTTAAATGTCAAACGTCGCAGTTTGTATTATTAGGGATATTTGTTGTTTGGAAATATTATTTTCCTTTTTAGGTAAATGTACTTGAGATCAATTTATCGTGTAACATGCGCACAAGGATTTTAACAATATTTAAACTGCCTCGTGTTAACACAATGTAAATACATAGATGCATTTTGTTATAACTTATTTAGTATTTAATGCGTACTTACAATAACATTGATTTGATATTAGAAGTACATGGTATTATAAATCAATACTTATTCTTTTGACATGTTTACTGCTGAACCCAAGAAGCGTGTCGGTCACTAAGTGCCGTAACGTTTTAGCGTTAACGATCTAGCACGCGATGTCGCGTGGTCGGATATTTGACGTTGACAATCTAACACGCGATATCGAGTGTGCACAATTATTAATTATTATATCTGATAAATAATATATTTTTAACTTCTATTGTCCTGTCGCTGTATTTAATTATAGTTCACAATTGCCATACCGCAATTAAGATAATTCTGATAATTTTAAAATGACATAAAATCGTTCTATAGATAGAAAGATCAAAATAAATTGAAAAGTAAGTGAATTATGTTATTGAAAAATGTCATGAACACGCTGAGGATACGCGCTCACTGACATATGTTCAGTCTACACTGTGTAACGCATAAAAATGAGTGCGGTGAAGGTTTGATGAATAAGCAGGGATGTATTTTAAAGCTGTATATTCGCGATCATTTGCTTCTGTGTGTTTTTGCAGGAAGTATTTATGCAAAGGTTGATTTAATGTTTTCATAGAGATTGTGGAATCAAAAGAAAAGTTTCAACGAACAGTTACGCGAACCGGTTAAGGGTCTGCTCTACCGTTTCACTTAGAAATGACTCACTCTCGGTGTACAACACTGCCTTGTTTGATGTCTTACTAATTAATACTGCGTCTCATCTGTTACTTTCAAAATGCATAACATTGTAGTAACACGAACAAAGGAATTTAAGTTGTCAATTTAAACAATTATATAGATTTTTATTTGCGCAGAATTTTTCCATTTTACTTTAAGTGGTCTCGTCGCTTATCGGAATTAGAATTCGTGAGAGACCAACGGGAACGAAAGGGTTAAAAGTAGAACAAAAATAGATTGGGTATATTTAAATATACCTTAAAAAATTTTAAGATTGTTATCATTTATTCACTCGGTACTTGTAATATGAAATTTTTAAATAAATATTCGAATAGTTTTTTTATATTTTGTATACGTGATCTTTTTTCAAGAAATATCACGTTAACAGATAAACTTTGATTGCATAAGGTGCAATTTACTTAATGGGAGTGTCTGTTTTAATAGTCATACCTTAACAAAATACCGCACATATATCATAATCAACAAATCGTATCTAAAAACATATATAGACATTGCAGATTATGAAACTTAGGATGTCCTTCAAGAAAAAAAAGATGTATCAACGATGATGAATTTATTTGTATTTCCAGAATATTTATGAAATATAATTTTTTCAGATTTGCGGTGAAAGAGGGAAAGGGCTCGCAAAATGGCCGAGTACTGTGAATACATGTGGAACCCCACACGAGGTCACGTGAACAGCGCTTTGGCACGAAGTATTTATGAGGAAGAGGCCAGGTTTGATAAACGTGACAAGAAACTGGCCATTAAGACTGTCAGAGCGATATTGCGTGAAATGCCGGATGTAGGTAAGAAAGGGTGCATAATATTTGATATTTTCCTCGCCTTTTAACGTGTCAGGATGACGACAGAAGATTCTTTGGCAAATAAGATTAGTTTCTTGTACAAATGTTTGCAAGAACGATGAGTGCACCTGAGGGTTCATAACTTTCTAGTATGACTTGGAATTACATTTTCTTTTAAAACAATGAAACACTTCGTACAGTGACGAGCATAGTACTGTACAGCAAACAAAGAAGTAATGATTTCTCGTTGAACAATTTCAAATTTAAAACTTTAGGAATTTGAAAATTCAGAAATATGAAGATTGAAAATATTATGTAGTGATTTAATGAGCAGTGATACAGCTTATGACAATACAACGGGTGGTAATCTAGCACGTAATAATACAACTTGTGGTATAGAATAACCTTACATTATCTTTCCCTTAGAGAATCCCAACACTGAACCTGTTCTGTAAGCGATAGTAAACTTCAATGCCTCCATGCAAGCAAATTAAGCTATCGCGTCTGATTCGTTTTCCGTACGCCGATACTTGAATTTCCGGCATAATGTTCGAGTGACTTCCTGTCAGCTATTTTTCACGCAAAGCATTACAATGACCCGTGTCTCTTTGCTCCTAGACTTGAAGCACTGCACGGACGAATACGTTACACGTTTCCTGTTGGCCCGGAAGTATCGCACGGAACAAGCTGCTGCCCTGATAGCCGCTTATCAGGCGCAAGTAGCACATCGACAGGATATCTTTGGTAATCTAACGGCCAGAGATCCAGCCTTGCAACGAGCTTTGCGAGCGGGTATTCCAGGTGTTCTACCCGCACGTGACAAGTATAGAATAATCTTTTAACCATAAATTCAGTTCGCGAGGTCTTTCAAATAAATTAATGTTTCAAATTATTTTTCAGGAAAGGAAGATGCGTACTCGTATTCTTAGCCTCGCAGTGGGATCCAATCTCTGTACCAGCTTTGTCGGTGCAACGAGCTATCTTCTTGGTTCTTGAAATTCTAATACAAGATCCAAGAAATCAGGTACATTATATTACATTTTATGTACACCAACCTAATATTAACGCTTTGATATATAATTGTAAACCTTGAATGTATACCGTGGAATTACTTCAGACACAAAAATCTTCATCAGGTTCTAGTTCCTAGTATCTCCATTTTTTTTGTAGCAATCCGGTTTCGTAGCTGTAGTGGACTGGAGCGGATTCTCTTTAAGACAGGGTGGTGCCTTAGGCGCTGCGGCTCTGAGAAACCTAATAGCTGCTCTTCGCGGACGATTTCCGGCTAGATTCAAAGCTATACACTTCCTGTCGGCCCCACTTTACGTTCAGGCAACATTGGCCCTTGTGAAACCTTTCTTGGACGAAAAGACGCGAAATAAGGTAAAGAATGCCTTTTGAAGAACCGTTTAAAATCTCGTCAATATTTAATTTTTAATTTTCATTTAAAAATTCTTAAATTCTTGAATCCCCATATTACCATAGTCTTCGCTTCATCTACCTGTAACTGCTTTTGCATACGTTTCTAGATACGAGCACTTAAATATTGACCAGATGATAATTAAAGGTAACACTACGCGTAGGCTACCATAGTGTTTACACATGAAATGAGACTGACTTGTAGATTATATAGAAGTACGCATTAACCTCGTTTAAAGTATTCTAACTTACAACCGGTACATTCTAGATCTATTTGCATGGGAACAACTTAAGCACCCTTCATGAACACCTGCCCACTGACATCTTGCCAGCGGAATTAGGTGGCACGGGACCAGCCTTTAATCCAGGACTATGGGCTGAACCAGTTATTCACTCGGCAATGAAAGAGGCTGAGCTTGCCGCGGTGAAAAAAGAAAAGGAACTCGCTGAACGCGCAGAACAGTCTGGCGATAACAAATACGAGACCAAAAACACGGAGGATTACAAAACGAACGAAGCAGATTCGACAAAATCGAGTAACGGTGTGAGTAAAGAGAATGGAAGGCGATTTTTTAATCCTTTCGGTAATTCTACGAGAAACCAATCCACGAAAAAGACTGGGGGAACAAACGTAGAGTTAAACTTAATTAATCGTTCGAATGGACACGATGAAAGGAGGAAAGAGGGTAAAGATAGTGAAACGATTAAGGAAGACGAAGATCCATATTGTGGAGCTAAAAATAAAACGTTAAATAACGGCGATTACTTCGACAATAAAAGATATAAAGATTCAGAGGACAATTTGTTAGGATTTCAGTCTGAAAAAAATAGACCAGAGAGTGACGATAGTAAGGATAATTCGCTGGATAACAGATCCGAAAATTCGCTCATTGATACAGGTAAGAACGAAATCCCTTCGGAGGAAACAAATCTCATAACGTAATGTTAATGCTTTTAAACTGTACTTAGGTTAACAAAATTTTGTACTTAGGGTGTGTTTGGATCGAGTTCTTATTATTAGAATATTAACTCTCTTAGTCTGAACGCACCCTTATACAGACTGTAAAACCTATTAACATTGCCTTTAAATTAATTTACTGTTATTAGTTTTACAGTCGGTGAACTATAATAGATCATACGAAACAAATTTTTATTATTCTATAGACTGTAAGGAATATATTGTGATACGGTAAACATTTATAATGTATTTGATGAGGCTTTTATTCACTTTTTTTTATATAAATAGGAGACGTTTTATTTTAACGCTGATAGAGTATTTAGAATAACAAACTCATAGAATTTTCATTTTCTTTCAATATTTTATTACCATGAAAAATTAAATTATTTTTATCAAAATGTTTCACTGCCTACTGTTATATCATACATTAGAAAAGTTATATAAAAATTGACAACAATATCATGCTAATAGTATCAAAACAATTTGTTTTAATTTTAGTTATTGGAAATTGATCGATATTATCGTTTGTAGCAAAGAAGTAAAACGAACGTTGTTCGAACATTTTTAATGTTCCTTTCTTCTTATCGCATATAACGAACACACTTTACACGAGTAGAGGTATACGAATAACAACGAGTACTTATACTGTGAACTTAAATTTGCGATGTATTTGTTAATGTAAGTTAATAAGTTAATTTTTGTTGGAACTCGTAATATCACATACATGAACTCTTTTTACATGTATGAAATTCATACTGATATCCACGTTTTTTAAAAGCAGTTTCCACAATTCATATTAATACTGTAAATATGTATTAAATTATTTATTGATATCAATATATCATGGAGTAAAAGATCTCTTATTTCATATTACATCTTTGAGAAAGGCATATTATGTACTTATAATTGTAGATTTGATATAACATAGATCTGTTTTTAGTATTGCCCATAAAAAATATATATTTTTGAATAAAAGTATTTTACCGTTTAGAATATCTTTTCTTTGATCCTATTTTAGATACGAGAAACTATTGAAAATGACAAATTTCAATTTATATTTGCTATTACATTACATAATGTAATTAGATTTAATATTAAAAATTAAGTTTCTACTCAAATTGATGTACCATTTCTGTTATATAAGCAGATGCAAATCAAACGTCGATGAAAGAGTAATGATAATAAGAATAATGGAATAAAAATTTATTATTTTAGTACATAAAATATATATGTATATGATTTTAACATCAATACACGTTATAAACATAGAATCATTAATACTTTATCACATTACCAAAAGCACCCTGCTATCATATAATTCTTTTTTTTATCTCTTTATTTCACACATTATCCCCATCCCGTTTTCCCTTAATTCGTATGAAAATAGAAAATCCTACATAGAGATCTATAATGAGGTATATAAAAACGGTAGTCAAATGTAATGTAATAAGTTTACTTATGTACAAAATGTTACTACTTCCGTGGATCTGATCCTTTTTATGAAAAGAATCTGTTCGACACCAATTTATAATACTTAATCGTGAACACTTATGTATAAACATGCGATTATGAAAACTATTTAGTTTTCTCATTCAAACCATACGATTTCACATATTATACGATGTTCAACATTTTTTATAGTCGATTATTTCAATCGACGTTGAAACATACTTCTATGTTTGTCATACCATAGAAATTCGTTTTGAATGCTTCTTGAAATACATTATCAAATATTTGGGATATCTACTTTCTGGATACGAATTTGTACTTTACCTTATGATTTTCCAGTATAAATTAATTGTCGAAAAATAACGATGGCAGGGTACGATAAAACGAGGCGTTATCCATTGTACCATGCATTTGATTATTGTCTAACAAACACCTGTGTCAAGCTACGATAGGGGGAGGAACCCAGCCTCCAAATGCTCTTTCCAATTCTTCAGCTACAGCTATTGTTAAATGATCTTGATGTAACCCACCGACAATCTAGTACAGGAATAATTACATGATATTAAAAGTGATAATTATAGCAACAGTGGAACGTAGAAATTGTACCTGTATTCCAATGGGGAGTCCTTCTTTGTTCAGACCTAAGGGGCAAGCGGTGGCAGGTAAGCCCAAAACATTGATGATACCAGTGTATGAGAAGTTGAATGCCTTAATCAATGGCTCATGATGCAATGGTGCTGCAGTTGGATGAGTAGGATATAAGAACACACCATCTTCGCCTAAAAACTCCTATTAAAAAAAAAATAAAAAAAAAATTATGACCAGCAAGGCATAAGAAATATAGCGAGGGAAAGAAGAAAGATAAAAGAAAATCTGGATGTTCTGAATACATGCTTCAAGTCCAATCACTCGTTTTGACTTTTTATACTACACGGTTAAAAAAATTAAAAAAAAAAAGTACTATGTACGCTATCTGATAAACAAATTCATTCGTCATGCAAAGTGGCAATATTTTGCTACTTATTAGAAAAACACGTGATACCATGAGAGAGGCAGACTAGTTGTCTGATCAGTTTGAAAGACTCAAGAAAGAAATCACGTCCAGTAAGAAAGAGTACGGTTCCGTAATTCAATAGTACGAATTAATCAGAGTATATCTTGCGCGATATTTCGGAAAGTAAGGCGTAGAAGAAGATAGGAGCCAATTCCATTCCTGACAAGTTACATTACGGATGCTTATCAATTTAAAATTATATCGTATCAGTTATTTATAGATCAGAATTCATTGATACAGTGTTAGATTAGAATATTGTATAGGAATCATACCTGAAATTCCCGATAAAGATCTTTACTTTCTTGCATGAACTGCATGTGTTTGTCACTTCCATGTTTCACCGCGAATCTCTCAAACATAGCAGTAAGAAGAGCTATCAAGGTGTGATTGCTCATGAATAGCATCCACTTCAAGAATTCCCACCACAGAGTTATGTGACCATTTCTATTTGACAATTCGTAGGTGAAATCTTTCTCGTCTTTACAACTCATGTTCGCCATCCAAAGAGCGATGCTCTTTTTCAATTTCCTAATATTAAGTTTAGTCGCCTTGATCTTATGTGCTTTTTCAAAATAATGAACCACTTTCTTCATAGCTTCTTTTATCTCAGGATCTACAGCGGATGTAAAAAATTGGCCTCCATCACCATCCATGTAATATACCTGAAACACAGTAAATACTGTTTATATGTCGCATATATAATATCTAATTAGAATTTAAATCATTAATACCTTGATCTTCGACATATCTACTTTTTCATCTAAACGTAACATATCTACGTTTTTATTTGCAAGGACTTTTAAAGTAGGCAACAGGTCTTGTGCGTATCTACACATTGGACCAATTGCAAGCAATTGGTCTTGGTCTTCGCTCTGGGCACTCGGATATTGGCCGTCATTAGAAACTATACCTTTGGAAGGTTTGTGCCCGAAAATTCCATTGAAAAAACATGGCATGCGAATAGAACCGCCAATATCTGATCCTATACCTAATGGTGAACCAGCTGCTGCTTGTATGCAACCCTCGCCCCCAGAAGATCCTCCAACAATGTGCCTAGTGTTGTAAGGATTCTTCGTAGTTCCGTATAAACAGTTACTAGTTTCCCACCACATGGCTAATTCTGAGACATTCGTCGTTGCCAGGGGAATAGCTCCTGCAACCCTCATTAATCTTACTACCTCCGCATCTCGTTCAGCGACAATATTTTTACGAATAGTAAGACCAGCTGTTTGTTTCATCTTGGCAATTCCAATACAGTCCTGTTGCAGAAAAAAAGGCATTTAAACTGTAAAACTATAATTATGATGCAACTACATTAACTTGTACTTTAATACATGAAACCTACTTTTGTTGTAAAAGGCACACCAAAGAAAGGCTTTTCTTTAGCTAATGCTTGAAGAGATGAAGCATCCTGAGATTTTATAAATTCATCACACTTTCTTGCTTCTTTGAGAGCATCTTCAAAGCGATCCTCAACTACGCAGTTTAATACTGGTTGAATTTCTCTTATCCTATCTATGTAAGACTGCAGTACCTGCTCTGAAGTTAACTGTAAATATAAATATATCATTAATTAAATGTTATAATGAAAGAGCAAATTTATCTCAAGACAAAATAAATGCTTACCTGCTTGTTTCTAATTTTAAAGGCTAAAGTAGTTGCGCTATGTAAAAGAGTTAAATCTTTTAGAGGTGGTTGCGATTCAGCAGGACCTCTTAGGAATGCCATAAACAGAAATATTTTCCTGGCAATTAATTCAATTATTCGATGTATTGCATTTAGTATTTGTCCCTTGGATTGCATTATGGGAACTTTTCTCTTTGACGACATTTATCTGCAAAAAGTAAAGTATCATATGTATAATATTTGTCCACTTATATAATGCATAAAAATGAATGATAAAAACATAAGCAAAAACTGGTTGGTGACTCAATGATTAGTATAAATTAATCAACTGATTTGAAGAACTGAACATTATCAGTATTATCAGTGGAAAGCCAAAAAATTTTGTATGAGTTATAAAACAATATCATTTTTTAGTGTAACTAAAATTTACATTATTCTATTTGTATAAAGCATAAAAAATTTTGTTTTTATTTGTTGAGCTAAACAACATATTTTGAAAAGTTTTAATATTTTTCTAAAATAGCCTTAACAAAAGAATGTTTAAAGCGATAATTCATACAAGCTGTTTTTTCCTCATTTCAAAACAACATTACAGTAAAACGAGGTCATTCTTAGCTAATAAAAATTTTTACTGTAAACTATGTTTAGCGCGCGTTTACCATGCCATGCACATACGTGAAACTACAACTGTAAAGCTCGCGAAATATTTAGGAAAAAGAACAGTGAATTTGAAGCTAAACCTTCAAAACCTGAAGTTGTTACATATTCTAATCTTTATTATTGCTCTTCGTGAAAAATTAACGGGCTTATTGTAAATTATATAAACGTTTCTGTCATTATGTCATTTAAAAGGTCGTTAAAAGAGACCACCGTATCATATTGATACAGCTCGTAATAGCGTGTAATTGGATACACATCTCGACAAATTATAATTGCATAAAACTAATTTATAATGACATATTATATATTACAAACTGTAGTCTGGTGTTTATTTTGTCATCAGATAAATAAGTGATCACGTCATTTTCGTCTTTATTATCTTAGATTATTATTTATATTGTGACTGCAAATCACCCTATCAACGTCAGATTAATTGGGTGACCTTGCGTTACAAATTATCTTGCCAAGTGCTCACCGCGTGCGTTATGGCAAATGCCGGCCCGTGTATCGATTAATCACGCGCACCACAAATGGCTGTCGGACGAGCATCGACGTTGCACGCGACTCGCATACGAATATTTTTTTAGCGAAGAAGTACCAACGCAGACGTTTTAACGTGAATTCTACATTGACAAACTAATGATGTAATCGCAGAGTTAAGCGTCAAGGCTGTCGCGGACCAACACCATGTGAGTTTGACAGTGGTTGTACGGATCGGAAGTGCAGCACTCGTGTCACATTTCAGGCCGTTGTTACTTCGGGCGTGCAACACCCGTTGAAAGTTGACTGTGAAGTCGTTCATGTAACAGAGGCTCATCCCGTCGATAAATAACTGCGCGAAATGAGTGGGTTATGGATCAAGATCGTAATGGTTCATTGATCGAATATCCACAAATACGATTAACTTGATGGTTATGAGGTTATTCGTGTTTAGACTAAACGAGCAAGAACATTACTTTGTAATTGCTCAGCGACCATCCAATAAATTACTCGGTCATTTCAAACAACTGAATGCGAATGAATATTATGTAGCAAGTTGTATCAAAAGTAATCTGATTGATTTATAACACGATATCATGATTGATGATGATTACTCTTAGAAGCCAATAACAAAGGTATTTGCAAAATAATCAATTACTCCCCAATTTTATTGTTAAGTTTAAATAAAACGCACGAATGTTCATTACGGTGATCTGAATCGCGCCGAATTGAAACACATAGAATTCATATATTTTTCTTGTAAAATAATTCATTCACACCTAGCGAACAATCCCTGGACAGCGGAAGAATGCTCATTTACATTAAATTTTACCGAGGTGGGGGAAGAATAAACTTTCGCTCGTTCACTTTTAACGCACCCTAACGGTGACCGGATCTCTTCACGTTCTGCCGGTGAATAATTCGTAATTGTAACATAACACGAACTTTTAACATATACCTGGAATAATCTGTAATTTTTCCAGATAGCTGCTCGGAGATAAAGATTATATCACGGAAGCATAGTTATGATGTATCAGAACACAGGATACGACTGTTGAATAACATGTTCCAAATAATGTACTTACAAATATGACGAGTTCGATAAGCGGACCGGCAAGGTCTGAGTCCGTGTGTTAATCAGTATTATGGCACCTTACCGATAAAAAATTGATTTAAGTCACGAGTCATCGACACGACAATATCGCGCCTGTCGTGACGCTGCTTTCTCCGGCACTCGTGTCAGCACTCGACTGATACTACTCGCGAGCTATGCTTACACCTTCATCGGCACTGACTATATGGAATTCGCGCAATCGCTATAACAGCTCGCTGAGCCGGGACATACAACCTTTTATGCGTTGGAGAGATATTTGGCCAACCGGGGATAGGATGTAAGATGGCCGCCAGGTAGCGATGGGAATGATACCCTCATGAACGATGTCCAGAATTTTGTTCAACGTATCACGCAAGAAGAGATATAAAGTAAACTTGAATAGTTTATTTTTTTATTATTCGTATGCTGGAGCAAAAATTATTTACACATGAAGTTTCATTGTAATCACTATAAGTGTTAGGTCAACACTATTCTTTCAGCTATTGTAATCCGTGAAGAATTATTAATAATAGTAATTACAGCAATATCGATTGTGTTATTTATTGTGATCTACGTATTGTCTATGAATAGTTTGAATGTTAATTTTAAGCGGTTCATAGTTGACAGCATTTTATATTCCTACTGTTTATTTATACCGGCAACAGGTTTCGATATATCGATTATTCTAATAGTCGAAACTTAAAACTAAACATAGGCGCTATAAAGTTTGAAATTGCGATTTATACAGTACTTACATACTAAGTGTAATAAAACGTTTTGTCAAAATATTGCATCATAAATGAGAGCGATTATTGACACTACAACTTGTTTCGAAGATGATACATAAAAAGGCATGAAGGAACAGCAACGTAAACATATCGATATATCTCGATTAACGATACTATAGTTATTCTCATTTCACCTTTTTATCAATTTCCCAATTCTCCGTCAAACTTGTGCGGTTTTCTCGTTAAAATTCCAATAAGTTTGTTTTGTTGTTGAGACTCGATGATCTGGATACTCTCGGCGACTGATTCTCGAAATCTCGGTAGAGGTCGATTGAATCGCTACTAGCGTTACGGGAGAGGGCATGGCGTCAATGTGCGCGCGTGCGTGTATACGATAGGGTGAATGTCACTTTGTGGCCACTTGCTTCCTTATCACTCTACAAAGAACGCTCATTATCCTTGGTGATTTTATTATTGGCCGCGTCTCGTGCCGAGTTAACGACGTAGCGGTATAGTGCGGTGAAATTGGCTCCTACGTTTCCTGACATGCGGCTCACGATCGCAGATCGCAGTTTTGAGGTTAGCTCACGAGCGTGCGACATTGCGCCGTGATACTGTCTCGCGAAATCGTTCGCTATCGAATCGCATGTTTCCGCTATACGATTTGGAGCTAATTTTGTTACGATATTCCATACGTCGAACAATGTGTCAATACTTGTGAGAATCGTTTCGAGACGAGAAACGATTCGGGTGTTGCCGTGAAACGGCCATTCCGTTTCTTCGCCTCGTCTTACTCCCACCCACGGTTGACTTTGATTATCGTTTTATTAATATTTCCATATGGGAGTGAGTCTCATCCTTCCTAACTACAACTTCATAGATTACTTTCGAACGAGTACGTCCGGTTTGATGCGAACCCTCTTCTATCGCTAATTTACCTACTGTTTGTAAACGTCTGTTGCTGGAATTTTATGGAAAATAAATACAGTTTGGTTTCATATCTTCTGCTGATTTTATTTTATTATTATCGCTATTTTTATTGTTCGTATGTGTACCTTGTTCACTGGTTTAATTTTGTGTTTACGTAGGAGGAAATGAGGTTTTATTTTGCTAAACGTTATGACTCATTTGAACGCGGTAGGTCGCATATTGTTATGAAAATTAAACACAATGGCTGGAAATTATATGCGATATAAACAGGCCGGTTCTTATGTGCTATTTTGCGCGCAATGTTGTACGTGGTATCCTAATATGTATTATTAATGCTATACTAACGTTAAATTAGCTGTCTTGCTCCGTTTCTGTTCTCATTTCCGACACGTCGTACCAAGGTTTTAACCTCGTGTCATCGTATACTTTCTTCCGTGACCGTTGACAGGTTTATTTAATAGAATGCGATGTATATATCTCGGGTGTCGTTTTATCGAATCAATTTCAACGTTTTATCGTATTTCTTTTTCATCGTCTATTTTCATTCATTTATTCCTGTCTCTTGTTTTTTCGTTATTTCCGCAAATTTATTCACACTTGGTTTTCATCGCACGATTGAGCACTTTTTTTTAGGAGGTATGAATATTAATAGCGGCAAAAGCCTGCGCCGTTGGCGTATTAATTAGAAAATTGTATCAAACAGTTTTTAAACTGCGAGGATCAAGGAAGGTTAATGATATCACTTATTCTTACGTTTCCAAGGTTTTACTACCAGACACCGTCTTTTTATACTTAATCGTTTATTTTGAATCGTAGTATGTCAAATAATGGCTTTCAAAACATATTTGTTACGTGCTTATGATATTACGAGACTCAAGTGATTAAACACATTTATGTGTTTACTTCCACGAAAAAGAAACATGTTACGTCAGGAATATGGATAATATCCGTTTTATTATTCGTGAAATACGAGGAGAAAGTTTTGTCGATGTCCTGCTTCCTCTTACGTGTTTCGCTTTCTAAACTTTTGCAATCATTATCTTAATGATACACATTACTCATGCTGCTTTATCAGAAATTAAAATGAGCGTGATATTAGCACTATTTATCAAGCAAATTCGCACAGAAACCTCCGATAATTTAGCGGCAGTTACAGATCTCTGTTTATTCTAAAAGATCCCAAACCATACATCCGTCTAAACATTTCCTGCAACTACCCGCGCGATTACGTAACCATTTTCTTTACGCTTTTACTTTCCGCACTCGCAGGTTTTGTTTCTTTTTTAGCCGTTTGTTCTTTTAGATCCGAAACGACGTCATGACACAATTCCTATCGAGATCATAAATCATCGTATCGTCGGGTAAAAAATCAGCGGCGCAAAATGAAGAAGGGCCCAGAACAGGATAAAGGAAAATCGGAGAGAGCAGAAGGCAAAGATGCGGCAAAAGATATTCAGGAGAAGATGAAAATGGTTGACATGAAATCAGCCACTGGTCTTCTCGCAAAAAACACCGTTTTATTGCCGAGTGGAGTTGCACGTGTGAAACAATCCTATGGGTCGAAGGTAATCGGCGAGGCGGGATCGTCATCCGGCTCAGCTACCGGTGAGTCAATTGTTAAAACCGTTTGTTTAGATTTTAATCAGTTTCAGCTGTCAAGCTGAACGTTTACGTAATAAAATAGGATGGAAACTCTTATTTATCGCGATTCGAAATAAATACTTACACGAATAGTTTCTGGGGATTTAGTATTTATTGATTTGGAAATCAGGGATCTAGGAATTTAGGAATTTAGAAATTTAAAGCTATGGGGAACTAGGCATTTAGGAATCTACTAAACTGAGATTTAGGGATTTGGGATCTAGGGATTTGGGATCTAGGGATTTGGGATCTAGGGATTTGGGATCTAGGGATTTGGGATCTAGGAATTTGGGATCTAGGGATTTGGCATCTAGGGATTTGGGATCTAGGATTTTGGGATCTAGGGATTTGGGATCTAGGGATTTGGGATCTAGGGATTTGGGATCTAGGGATTTGGGATCTAGGGATTTGGGATCTAGGGATTTGGGATCTAGGGATTTGGGATCTAGGGATTTGGGATCTAGGGATTTGGGATCTAGGGATTTGGGATCTAGGGGTTTGGGAATCTAAGAATTTTGGACTCTAGGGATTTGGGGATCTAAGAATTTTTGAACCTAGGGATTTGGGGATCTAGGGATTTGCGATCTAGGTATTTGGGATCTAGGAATTTGGGATCTAGGGATTTGGGATCTAGGAATTTGGGATCTAGGGGTTTGGGAATCTAAGAATTTTGGACTCTAGGGATTTGGGGATCTAGGAATTTTGGAACCTAGGGATTTGGGGATCTAGGGATTTGGAGATCTAGGGATTTGGGGATCTAGGAATTTGGCGATCTAGGGATTTGGGGATCTAGAGATTTAGGGATCTAGGAATTTTTTGAATAAGTAATTTTTTGATCTAGCGATTTTTCGATCTAGGAATTTGAGTATCTAGGAATTTGGAGGTCTAGGGATTTTGGGGATCTATAGACGTGGTACTGTACAGACTTTGAAAAATTTGTAAATTTGAAAATGTCTGAATAAAAGAAAAATTTCCAAATTCGTTTTCTATCAATTTTTGCGAACGCACTTGAGCTGCACGCGCAGTCATCCATTATCGTGCGTTCATAATTACTTAAATACGTCTTCGAATATTTCAGTCTTCGCATTTGCATGAATCATTAAGCGATTTATTTGCAAAAAGCTACTTCGCGCCTGACATTCAATGATATATGTATAATGTACGTACCTCATCATACAAAGCAACAAAAGTAAGTCGTCAATAACCGTGTAATCGCGCGCAGTGAAGTGCTAAACGAACTGAGCGTTTATTCATGACCTTATAAATATTTCTTTGAACGAAGTAGACAAAAGAACGACAAGAACTTGTCACCACCGAAGCCACCTTCTCGACTTTGCACTTCAACTCATCGGTTCATCCTTGAATTCATATTCATACCGGAGACGACGGAACGAACATTTCCGATCATCGCAGCGATCAATCACGAAGATCATGCCCTGTTCACATTATTGGGTCAGGATAGGGCAGGGCAGGGCCGATCGGCGAGTACATTTTGTCCCCTGTCCTGTCCCGATAGTGAGGATCGGACTTATTCGAAGCTCGACGTTCTCGAGGACTTAAGAAGAGCGAAGAAAATTCGGGAAATTTTGGCGACGATGGTACTGTCGTTCCCGATTTGCATTATTGGGCCAGGATAGGGTAGGGCAGGGCCGATCGGCGTGACCATTCTGTCCCCTGTCCTGTCCCGATAGTGAGGATCGGTGCTGCAACAGAATTCTTTACATTTTCATGTAACATAAAATAACATTATATTATGTAACATAATTATTAGCTATACTTTACAAAAATTAGCTACATTTTTTATTATGCATGATTATTTCTTCATTTTTAAATAAAATTTATCGTCATTTCATATTGACACTTTGACTAATAACTGTGTACATTTGTTGTTTTATGCAATGTTGTAACTTATTCTCTTATTAACTGTACTTATTATAGAGATACAAAAAGTAAATCAGTAAAACATAAAGAAGTGACGGGTCGATAAGGAAAATATAAAAAGTCGACGAAGGGCGTCGTCGTGACCCGCTGGCGATATTGCGGTGACGAATCTTCTCCGTCGGAGATTTTGTGGCGGAGCACCGGACGAGGAGGTGGAAAGGACGAGCATACTGACTTCTGAACCGCGAAGCGAACAAGTTGATTCTTCTTTCGTTGCGTTACGAGTTTACCTTTTTTTTTTAAAAATATATATTTCAAGCATGAAATTAAACTATAGGGATAAAGAATATATTTTTGTAAATTTGTGAAACTTGTATGTAAATAAGTTGTGGATTGCATGTAAACAAGGTTCGCTACCTTTCAGAAACGGGCCATTACCGAGTATGCAGTTAACAGACGGGCCTTAAGGAGTATGTCATTAACCAGCAGGTGATTAGCGAATACACCGTTAGCGAACAGGCCGTTAACAAACAGATCTTTGCATAAAGAATTCTTAAATTCTTTCTCAACATAATTTTTTTACAAAGAAGTTAAATTTGTCTCTCAATGTTTTTACAACTCATAAAGTTGTTCGTAAAATTCAGCATGTCTCGGTTCTCGATAAAGTCCTTTCCTGTCACCTACAATTCATCGATTCACAACGAGTATGAATCTAAATATAACTGAGACACCGTCGAATAAAATTAAGTTCGTCCTTTTGAACTGTGTCTCTGTAAACATTCATAATCTTGGAATAACAAACGCTTTTGAAGCTTTTCAACAGAATCAGTGATGACTCGACAGGTTCCACGAATAAACGTAGCGGAATGTTTATCCTGCTGAATCGGTAAATGTCGTTGAATTATTCGCAATTCTTGAATAGTTTCGCTAGCTTGTTTATCTTTTGATATGGATAAAATTGGTATGATAAATTTAGTTATTTTCTTCTTATCTTGTCGGGTTTATGGTAATAATAGCGAAAGCATGTCGATGTGGTTAATTACCCGTGAGTCGCCGACTCTGCGGATTCTTGGTAACTGAAGGAAAGTTGTATGAAAGTTTGGAGTTTTTGTTTTGATGAAATTGGTAGTGAATCGAATTTTAAATTTGAGAATTTTCGAAGTTTTGAAATTCCAAAATTTTCAGATTCCAAATTTCCAAATTCCAAAATCTCCAAATTCCAAATTTCCAAATTCCAAAATCTCCAAATTCCAAAATCTCCGAATTCCAAAATCTCCGAATTCCAAAATCTCCAAATTCCAAAATTTTCAAATTCCAAAATCTCCAAATTCCAAAATCTCCAAATTCCAAAATTTTCAAATTCCAAATTTCCCAATTCCAAAATCTCCGAATTCCAAAATGTCCGAATTCCAAAATGTCCGAATTCCAAAATCTCCGAATTCCAAAATCTCCGAATTCCAAAATCTCCGAATTCCAAAATCTCCGAATTCCAAAATCTCCGAATTCCAAAATCTCCGAATTCCAAAATCTCCGAATTCCAAAATCTCCGAATTCCAAAATCTCCAAATTCCACAATTTCCAAATTCCAAAATTTCCAAATTCCAAAATTTCCTAATTCCACATTTTCCAAATTCCACATTTTCCAAATTCAACAATTTCCAAATTCCAATATTTCTAAAATTTCCAAACTCCAGAATTTTTTAATTGCAAGGTCCCAAAATCTCAGATTTCTCAAATCGCGAATTTCCAGAATCTCAAAATTCAAAAATTCCCAACTCAAACTGTCATAGTTCCAGACAGTCGATGAATGTTCCAGACGCGATTTGCAGTTAATTACAAATTTACAATCACTAATTAGAAAGATAACATGCATATTCAACATGCATGTAAGTAAAAGATGATTGCTGACTACAAGTATGTTTTTCTTTCCTTTTTTTTAAAGGTTATCGAGCGTCATCATCAAGGATAGTATTCTTGTAAATGACGACCATAAAAAAGACAGTAATCATTCCGCTTGTTACATTTTGCATATATTAATTTTGATAACTCTACTTTTTTATTTTACAATAAAACAATTTTTTTTAAATTTTTTTACAATTTTGTATTTCGTAATAAAATAATTTTTTACTTTGTAATAAAAAGTTTTTATTTAGTAACAGTCTCTGAGATACACTAAATATAATTTAACTATTAAACATTAATATAATGAAACATGGATTTTGTAAATTAAATTAAAAGATAAATAAAGAGTTCACCCTAGGACGGTTTTTGCAGAATTATAATTAACGAAAAGTAAAAAGTTGCGTTTCGTAAGAACATAATAACACGCATGTTACCTGCCCATGTCTGACCGTCATTTCAGACGAATAAATCAGCATACATTCTGCAGATTGTATTAAAAGTTCGACGTCAAACTTTCGTGCAGGTTAAACCAGTTTTTACGCCTGAAATATTTATATCTCCCTATAATTTGCTTTTATATAACATTGTTATTGAACTTGTCTCAATTTTTATCTAACTTATCATATTCAATCTTAGATTTTAATTAAAATTGTCCCACGAAATCGCGTAAAATACCGACACTTCAGAGTATTTCAGTTCAAATAATTAAATTCCAGTCTGTAATGAATAATCTCTCAGTTTTCCCAACGACGTCTTTTTCGATCAAGCGGAATATTTCATTCAGATCGAAGAATAGAATTCCTGAATTCGATTACGATTGTGCGAGTTCATCATTTTCTAGTCATTCGATTACGCAATTTCATCCAAGGTTTCCGTTCGGGGATCAGTTTTTTCCAATTACCTTCAATCGAATCGCGGAATATCGGACGACTGATCATTTCCTTCGGTGAATTCACTTTTCGAATGTTGACTGAGGATGGAAAGATGCCGTGCGTTACTGTCATTCGTACGTAAATCAAGTTTTGTAGCTTCAGTGAATGTGCAGATGAAAAACTTTTACTTGTTATCTTTCGTTAACCGTAAAGTAGTTTCGTTATAAACCATACAAAGGTCAAAATATCAAATAGTTTTAGTGTCGCTATTTTTCATGTATGAACAATAATTTTTTTTCATGTCTCAAAATGTGAGATACAAAATAAAGTAAAGTGCATTATATGTACATGTGATGAATGATGTACATGTATAATAAAATATATTTTACGTATATGTTTGAAAGGTATACCTATATGACGTATACCTATAATATGAGGTACACCTATGAAAGGTATTATACATATACAATAAAATATATTTTACGTATACCTTTGAAAGGTATACCTATATGACCTATACCTATATATGAGCTACACCTATGAAAGATATTATACATATTTAATAAAATATATTTTACGTATACCTTTGAAAGGCATACCTATATGACGTATACCTATATATGAGATACACCTATGAAAGATATTATACATATGTAATAAAATATATTTTACGTATACCTTTGAAAGGCATACCTATATGACGTATACCTATATATGAGATACACCTATGAAAGATATTATACATATTTAATAAAATATATTTTACGTATACCTTTGAAAGGCATACCTATATGACGTATACCTATATATGAGATACACCTATGAAAGATATTATACATATTTAATAAAATATATTTTACGTATACCTTTGAAAGGCATACCTATATGACGTATACCTATATATGAGATACACCTATGAAAGATATTATACATATTTAATAAAATATATTTTACGTATACCTTTGAAAGGCATACCTATATGACGTATACCTATATATGAGATACACCTATGAAAGATATTATACATATTTAATAAAATATATTTTACGTATACCTTTGGAAGGTATACCTATATGACGTATACCTATATATGAGGTACACCTATGAAAGATATTATACATATACAATAAAAGATATCTTACGTATACCTTTGAAAGGCATACCTATATGACCTATACCTATATATGAGGTACACCTATGAAAGATATTATACATATGTAATAAAATATATTTTACGTATACCTTTGGAAGGTATACCTATATGACGTATACCTATATATGAGGTACACCTATGAAAGATATTATACATATATAATAAAATATATTTTACTACAAAAGATATTATACCTTTAATAGTATAGAATATTCAGTAATCTTATTACTTCACCAAAAGAGCCCGCAACGCATTCTAGGTTGCATATGTGGGCCAACCCTCGCATCGCCAACTCATCAATGCTCACCCATTATTATTAACGCAATCGTTCGAAGAGATTAATATTTAATATCTGACCGAATTAGCAAAGGAGACCCGTCGTTCTCGACGAAGAGGCACGCGCTCGTTGCTGAGATCCTGCGTGTTAGGCACGCCGTAGCAACTATATTGATCTACCTGTCCGAGGGCTATATTGGTCCGCGTGTTCGGTGCAGTACCTTCCAGTCCACCAACGCGGGATCAACGTTTCATCCTGCTGTTTATCGCGCGATCACGTTTCCTTCTTCAAAACATTATCGCACTTTGTACCTGTTTCGTTGTTGAACAATTCGAGTCTGTTAGGCGTCCATTATTGCTCTATGTGAACGCGTCGTGCGTTGATACATCTGATTTTTTTATTTTCTCGATGTTGTCAAACATGAGATTTTGGTGATCAGGTATGGTTAGTGAAGCTTGTTTTAGGTTTAGGATGAATGTTATATGATGGGTAGATTTTTATTTGGGTGATGTTGGATTTCAAGTGATGACCACTTGGTGGGCTCCATGTTAAATTGGCACCTCGACGTTGCTATCAAACACATGATTTCAGTGACTAGGTGTAACTATAAGTCACAAATTATGACTCAGTGAAGCTTGTTTTAGGTATAAGGTAAACTGTTACGTTCCTTAATAGGTAGATTTGGATGCTAGTTTTGCGTGCTAGTTAAATTTCGAGTGACAACCACTTGGTGTGCTCCATGTTCACCTGGCACCTCGACGTTGTTATCAAACACAAGATTTCAGTGACTAAGTATAGTTACAAGTTATCTGTGAAGCTTGTTTCAGGTTCAGAATGAATTACATTCTCTGATAGGTACATAGGTAAATTTTTTATTTGGATGCTGGATGTTGAGCTTCATGAGTGACAACCACTTGGTGTGCTCCATGTTCACTTGGCACCTCGACGTTGTTATCAAACACAAGATTTCAGTGACCAGGTATAGTTACAAGTTATCTGTGAAGCTTGTTTCAGGTTCAGAATGAATTACATTCTCTGATAGGTACATAGGTAAATTTTTTATTTGGATGCTGGGTGTTGAGCTTCATGAGTGACAATCACTTGGTGTGTTCCATGTTCATTTTGCACCTCGACGTTGTTATCAAATACAAGATTTCAGTGACCAGGTATAATTGCAACTTACCAGTGAAGCTTGTTCAAGTCTTACTATAAATTATTACGTTTTTTGATAGATAAATTGGATGCTAGATATTGAATTTCATGAGTGACAGCCACTTGATGTGCTCCATGTTTACTTTGCACCTTGACGTTGTTAAACACAATATTTCAGTGACCAGATATAGTTGCAATAGTTCCAGTGAAACTAGTTTCAGTCTCAAAATGAATTATATTCTTTGATAAGTAAATTTGGATGCTCCATATTAAATTTCATTTAGAGTGCTTCGCGTTAAGTTTGGACATACAAATTAGTACGCAGGACAAGATCTTTGTGGCTAGTTATATTAAGACATTAAAAGCACAAGACTACAATGTTTGAACTATTGCCTTGTTTCGAGTAATATATCGATACATCAGTTTTTCTCAATATTAACTATGTGTTTCAGTTTTTGATACATATATTGAAATTATTTTGTGGCACCATATTTTAATTGTCAGTTAAAATGAAGCCTTCAAAGAATGTACCAGAGTTCATATCTTTAAGGTTTAGCTTCAACACTCTCGTTGATTCGAATGGTTTTAACAGTAGATACATCAGGTTTTTTGAATGACAATCACTGTATGTACTTTATGTTTGATTTGTACGTTGAATCTTTTATGAAGAGCAAGATTTTAATAGTCAGTTAATTCAAGAAACATATGAAAGTCTTCAGAATTCAGGTTCAGACTCAGTTGTGTTGTTTGAGATTCTACCAATGATTCATACATCAAATTTCCTAAATGTGTCTCACTATGTTCCTCCTATTTGATATGTACATTGTTGCAAAGGACTTTAATGGCCACTCAAACTGAAACGTTCAAAGAACAAAATCTACAACACTCAACGTTTAGTATAAACATTTTCATTATATTAGGAACACATCTGTTCTCTAAACGTCACTTCGCTTCATGTTTAATTCACAAATTAAATTCATTATAAAAGTCAAGATTTTAGTGCTGAGTGAAGTTGAAACGTTCAAGAAACAATACAGAATTATAATGAAGTGAAACTTGTTTGGGATTCAGGACAACCTGTCGTGTTGTTTGATACGGTTCTAACGGTAGACAGATTGACACAAGTTTTCTGAATGACGTTCTCTGTGACTCATGTTTGACCTCTCCGTTAAAATTATGGCGAACCAGATTTTAGCGGTCACTTAAATCACAGAAGCTTCTGAAAGTTATAATCGAATGGAACTTGTTTAGAAGCTTGTAACGGTAAATGAGTTACATCGGGTTTTCTAAATGACAACCACTTCGCTTTGACCTATTAAACAACAAACATCGACCTATTACATCGTGAAATTGTTATGAGAAACAGGAGCTGTTGACGGACATTTAGTGTCGTTCAGTGAATGTCAGAAGTCTGATGTGTTCAGAACAATTCTGAGTGTATGAAGATTTTGCGTATCAACGCAGTTTCGTGCAGGTACGTTCACTCCTCGACTTCCCGCCATTTTCTGAAGCGTCGATTTGTTTACATTGTGTCCCTCTTCCGTCAGTTACAAAAATTAGAAAAATTAGTAAAATTTATTCTCAAATATAATTATGATCTCTTAGGTTTTTAAAAAGGATCAAGGTTCACGATAAAAGATCTCGTAGTTGAAAGAAATGTAATTTTCTGAAGGAGTAGAAATTGAAGATTTCTTGAAGAATAGAAATTGAAGATTTCTTGAAGAAATTTCGTTGTTTCTCATTCTAGAGACGTTACGAGGTTAATATGTTAAGTGTGCTGTTTTTATGCAGGAGGATGGTTAAGAATCTGGGAAACGTGACGTTTCGATGAGAAAATGCCACGATGCTGCGGCGCGTCTTTGGTTTCCGTCATGGACGGCGACGGGTCTCCGCAGAGTCTCGGTTTGCAGATTCAGGACGGTCAGTAATTAGCGATAATTGCCCATTAGTTTTACTCGTGGCCCGTTTCTGCGAACGTTAGCCCCGTTTGCCACTCGTTGAACGATCCTTCATCTTCCATGAATGACTAAGAGGAAGCGGATAAAAAAATTACTTAATTTCCACGCTTTTATCGCCCACCAGACATTTTTCCTTTCAGAGCTGTAAAATCAGTCATACACACGAATATTTAATTTAATATTTAACGTTTAAAATCGCTGATCTAATTTTAGCGTTCAGAATCGTTAATCACTCTCGAAACAACGATTATAGCTTTGTTTGCGTTAAATTTAAGCGATAGACCCTCGTTATCGAAAATTGAATATGATTGAAATCGCATACCTGTTTTTTCTTTTATAAGACCATTAATCACTTCATATAATTTTACAATACACCGATTAACATCGAAACAGATAAGCGAGAAATTGTCAGTCATAATTGAAAAAAAGTACTTTAAGTTCAGCAGCACTCTGCAAATTTTATATTATTTCGCCTCTTGGTCTTTTTTGTAATCAATGTGGGCGCGTGAAAGTTTCAACAAAGTGTCTTTATTTCAAGTGTTCTAATTGTTTTTATTTGGTGTGACAATACCACGCTGAAATTTAATTTATCTGTCATTGTTCGCAGGCAATCCTCGAAATAAAACGGCGTTAGCACCTGGCCACAGTCTGATGGACTGGATTCGATTAGGTAATTCAGGCGTCGACTTAACTGGCGTCGGTGGAGTACCACGAGTTGTTACTTTGACCGAACTGGCCAATCACAATAAACAAAACGATGCTTGGATCGCCATTCGAGGTACATTTATTGCTTCCACGTTTATTAATATTCCATAATATCTGATTTCAATTCTAACAATTTCCTCCTACCTCACAATTTCCTCCACAGTTTCCTGCACAATTTCCTACCAGCTTCATTTCATTTTTTATCTTTCATGAACCTAATAAGAAAAGCAAGATAATCGCAGTGGATCGATCATGGAAAAGTTTCCGTACACCTATGTTGGATGAACAGTGAGCAGCAGTCACGAGAAGCAAAGAAAACACTGGCCATCGTTCGCTTTTAGCCTGATTAAAATTTACTTTCCTCTCGGGAAACATTCAATATTTATTCCAAGCCTGTTACGAACCAGTCAGTCGGTTATTTCAGTGCCACTGAATAAAGAATTTATTCGATGTATTCCTGGGATGGCGCATGACCCGCATTTATGATTTGCGGTAGGGCGAATGAATTGTCGACTCTTGTTTGCGAATATCTGCCTGGCGATATAACGCGAGACGATCAATATGTAGCGATAACGCGGCGATGATCAGTATGCAATGATATAACGCGGCGATTATCAATATGTGGCGATATAACGCGTTGGTGATCAATATGTAGCGATACAACGCGCTGGTTATTAATATGTAGCGTCACAATGCGTTCATATTCAATGCGTAGCGATACAACGCGTAGACATTCGATGCGTAGCGATACAACGTGTAACGATACAACGCGTAGACTTCCATCGCGTAGACTTTCAACGCGTAGACATTCGACGCGTAGACTTTCAACGCGTAGACTTCCATCGCGTAGACTTTCAACGCGTAGACTTCTATCGCGTAGACTTTCAACGCGTAGCGATACAACGCGTAGACTTCCATCGCGTAGACTTTCAACGCGTAGACTTCCATCGCGTAGACTTTCAACGCGTAGACTTCCATCGCGTAGACTTTCAACGCGTAGACTTCCATCGCGTAGACTTTCAACGCGTAGACTTCCATCGCGTAGACTTTCAACGCGTAGACTTCCATCGCGTAGACTTTCAACGCGTAGACTTCCATCGCGTAGACTTTCAACGCGTAGACTTCCATCGCGTAGACTTTCAACGCGTAGACTTCCATCGCGTAGACTTTCAACGCGTAGACATTCGATGCGTAGCGATACAACGCGTGGACTTCCATCGCGTAGACTTCCATCGCGTAGACTTTCAACGCGTCGACATTCGATGCGTGGCAATACAACGCGTAGATATCCAACGTATAGACATTCAATGCGTGACGGTGCAACATATACAACACAAAAGCATGTAACATAGATCTAGTGTGTCACAACACACAATTATCCAATGCCTCAGCATACATATCCTCCAACTGATATATAACCTCCTGAGAAAACACTATTCCCTATAAAACCCCATGTACATCAATATAACAAGAGTCCTCCAAATTAACTTCACTATCACCCCCTCTGATTACAGGAGTAGTATTCAACGTAACCCGTTATATGGACTTCCACCCAGGCGGTATCAGCGAGCTAATGCGAGGCGTTGGTAAAGATGCAACAAAACTTTTCGAAAACGTGAGTCCATCAATTTATCGCTGACACATCAACAACTACATACTATAAATCAACGATTATTTTTACGTACCCATAGATCGTTCGTTGCAGGTGCACGCTTGGGTCAACTATCAGAGCATCCTTCAGAAATGTGTGGTTGGAAGATTGAGTCGTGGTACTGGGAACAATAACAATAGCAGTTCATCCTCATCGACGGAGAACGTTGTCTCGAACACGACCAATTGTTCCTTAACGAAGTTGGACCTGATAAAAAGTTGCATGAGTGAGTCTCTGAATACTGATAGAAACTGCTGTGGCTGTTGTTGCAAAGTTTTATAGTTGGGGGCGAGATGTTATTCAGTGAAAAATGCTGGCTTGATTGTTATTTTTATGTCTTGTGATTGGGAGCATGGTGATGAAAATGTTAAATATAATGTGGGTCGATAGGGGTCTCTTTGAATCTAACTAAACTTTTTCATGAGGGACTTTTTTTATTTTATAATTTACTCGAGTTAAGTCTACAAAATTTTGTACTTGCATATTATTTTTAATCTAGTAAAATTACCACATACGTTCGAAGAGTAATATAAATTAATTCACACATTTTTAGCCAGCATTGTTAATCAGGAAAACGTGCCAGAGGATAGCTTGTTAAATGTGAAGATGGATTGGAGACAGACATCCAATTCAATCACACTTTTCTATCAAACGGTACGTGACTACCCGGGCGTGTGTTATCAGCTACGAAGGATAAGCGACTCGAAATTGGTTTTTAAATTGTTTTTCGAGCGGGACATTATTACGCACGAACTCGATTTGGCGGCGGATATAGAATGGCCGCCGGTATGCAAGAGGAATTTCGACACAATGGAGGTACCACGACAGAAATTTGCCATTATTTTTAATATAAAAGAGGAAATTTAAGGTCATATCTAAATTGCTTTTTTAACTCCATGCTAAAAACGTTCAGATATTTAAATTTGCGCTGTATAAAAGTTATCACTATTACAGGTGGATTTCACGTTCACGAAGAAGAAGAAAGAGATATGGAAATCCCTGGGCAGCCACACCATATCCAGAGAGACGAATACTAGTAGTCGAACGTACAGAGAGTATGAAGTGGTGGTGAACATGCCTCTCTCTAAGTTGGTACATCTACTAGTTGTGCGAGCTAAAGATTATCTGGAATTAGTACCCATTGGCAGACACGTGGAAGCCAAAATGAATGTGATGGGTAAGCAGTTACTATGCTTTATAGTCATGAGCAAATCTGACTGCCCTGAGAAATTGTCAACTGAGAGAAAGAAAATTATAATTTCTAAATTCCCAAATACAGTAGATGTAACTCAATGAAATGAGTAAATGTGAAATGAGTAAAGGTAAATGTAACTCAGCATACCTGATCCCAGCACCTGTTCTCAATTTTAGGGATGGAAGTATCGCGATCGTACACGCCTGTCCCACCGTGCCTTCATCCCGACGACATGGCGCCGAGCTACAGATCCGACTGCTTGTGTCTGATGATTAAGAAATATCCGAACGGCGCGCTTAGTCCGTCCATAACCGCCCTTCAAATCGGTCAGACCTTGATGCTGAGCAATGCTTTAGGTGCCTTTGTAGTAGAATCCTTTGATCGTTACTCGGTCATTCATATGCTTGCCGGTGGCACTGGCTTGACGGCGATGCTTGGCATCGTTCAGCGGGCCTTGGCCAGACGCTCTGTGTTAGTATCTTTTCCTGTATCCTCTTTGTTCTAATTTCTTCGAGTTACTCTATGCCAAACTGCAGAAATTAATTTTTGGCATGCTTTAGGCATATCTTTCTTTTTAACACTGCGGCAAATCTTTGGCATGTGTTACTTTTCTGCGACACGAATATTTTTTGCTTCACAAGGTGTCCAATTTTGTATTATAATGTAACAAGGTTTTTACTTCTGCTAGGAAGACCATAAACCTCCTGAACTTCAACAAGGATGAAGATAATATGTTCTACGTGGCGCAGTTGGAAAAAGCTAGCGCAGAGAAAAAGTATGCAGTCTGATCAATTAGCGGTATTAATGTTTATACGAGTTCTTATTTTAAACTGTTCATGTTCAGATTGAAAGTCACACATATCCTTTCGCAAGCTGGTAGCACGTGGTCGGGAAAGCGTGGAGCGATATCAGATGACTTATTGAAGGAGTTGGTTGCTGAGGATTCTCCCGATGCGTGTGTTTTCACATGTGGGCCTCCAGGATTCATTCAATCCGCGAAAAAGTAATTTCTGTTACTTCATAGATTTAATTTAAGTGTTTTCTCTGTGACATCTCCTGTATTTCAGGTCGCTTCAAAAGCTCGGCTGGAAACCGTATCAAATGTACGATTTCGACGATTAATCCAGTGCAAATGTGTCTCCATTTTTTTATACCAAATTCCAGAACATCAGTGAAATCATGGAAAAGTGAAAGAAGGAATTACGTGTGGTTCTATCGAATTTTTAATCATCCTTTTGGATACTTTTACTCCTATTTCCGCCCACAGTCAACGTCGCGGCACGAAAATCCTTTTATTCGTTACATTCGTACATGAAATGGATGGTGAAACACAATTTTTTTAATTTTGAACAGAGGATATTTTACTAACGAAAAGTCTTGTAAATACTTATCGGAATTAAATTCTCGTATTCAAGGTATTTTGTAACATTTTTAATTCGACAAAATTACAATTTTATCTGAGCTTTTCAAGTTCCTTTAAACACGATATTGGAGAAACCTGTGTACATTCCTACACGACGACTGTTTCGAGAGCTACTTACTATCGATAGACATTACGCACTTTGTATTATATCTGCGAGTTTCGAAGAAACAAAAACGAGTAAGACAGCGGTGCATTGGCGAGTGTCATAGCGTTGTTAAACAATTTTTTCTCAGGCACGTTGTTACAGTGACGAGTGAGAGTTTAAAACAATTTTATAATTTCCAGATGACCAAATTAACAAATTCATCTTATTAAAGATTAAAAGTAACTATTTTAGAACAAGTAGTTACTACTCGCCAATGTATTCGCGGTCACAGGGTCTTAAATGGAAAGTTTAAAAGCCAATCTGGCTTTTATTGCGAGAACAAATTATTTTTACAAATATCGTCTTTTAGCATTCGGAGAGCTGTGTATTTTTCACGATTTATCAGAGAATATTTCATCTAGATTTAACAAAATCCTTCATATAAATTAAACCTTCATTCAATATTGTATAACAAAAACTTTAATTGTAATTCATCCAATGATTTTTCAACACCAAGTAGAATGTTCCTGGAAAATTTTTAGAAACGATAGTAACAGCAATGTGGCCTAATTAGAAAACCGTTTTAAAGTCAACTGGATCATCCACTCATCAACTTTTGTAGAGGTTTTTGAATTCTCGACGTGCAGATAGAAAACGTTAGTGACCTCTTTAAATATTTTTATCAATTAAGTATCATTCGATCGATGAGCTAGCGATTGAAGGAGGAGATTCGTTTCGTATGAACGTAATTCTCAAGTGCGGACCACTTTCTGCATTTTGCGTACATGTTAAATACGCCTATGTGTATGTATGTATATGTGTGTACATAGTTGTTACCAGAAATAAATATTTGATGGCCTTAAATCTTTTCTTCATTGAACTCAACGGGTTAGAAAATACTAGTTTTTCTTTCTTCAAAATTTCTTTAAAATTATTTGTTCTTATTTGTTCATTCTTTGTATCAAGGACGAGATAGGGTATAGTGTGTGAACTGTTCTGGACACATAATTTGCCCACAGGCCCACAGAATATATTATAGACAGTGTAAAATCAATATTAATAAATATATGATGAATATATAGCACATTAATCAATTAAATTAGTATTAATTGAATAAAAAAAAATTGAACAAGTGGCGCCATCTCTCTGGCGAACAGGGTGAACTACACACTTTTGAAACTGCAATTTAATTAGTTCGAATTTCTACCACCAGGTGGCGTCTCAGTGGCGCCATCTCTCCGGCAAACAGGGTGAACTACACACTTTTGAAACTGTATTTTAATTAATTCTAATTTATGCCACCAGGTGGTGTCTCTGTGGTGCTATATGGCGGGAGTGTCAGATGTGAACTAATGAAATTATAGCTTCAAAAAGTGTAATTCTATTTTCGTAAACATTCAATTAACATTGGTTTCATTGGCCTAATTATCTAAAACAATTTGAGAGTATCATAAAATCGTTAAAATATATTATTTCAAGAAAAAACGCAATTTTTTGAATCGCTGGTTCCACCGTTGGCTGACAGATGACGTCAAGGGTGCCATTTTGTGCGCGCTTTAAAAACTGGAAGAAATGTAACTCTTTTATAATGAGCATATACAGTAAGTACATTACTTTCAATATTCCTTTTTACATTAATTTTTTTTAATCGTTATTTATAAATTGATACACTTTATTCTTTCATGTCGATTTAAATTTGTATACTCATTATTTTCGTACTTGTACATATAACATTTATAACAATACAGGTAACAATTTTTATAAACATATTTTTATTAAAAAATTTACGAGAATTAATAAACGTTCCGCAATATTCTGTGAAAAGTTTTACAAATACCAAGACTCGAATCTTGATTTATCGTTTCCTTGCTGCACGAAATTAATCGTTCTCGATTGATAATATCCCAACGGCGCGGATTTAATTGATGTCCCGTAAATTACGGGAATCCAGGCCGATCTCGATTGTTCCTCGCGACGATTAAAACGTAATGATATTTGCGGTGCGATTAATCGATCGCCCGGTTTCGAACAATGTTTCAAACGATCGTTGGAACACCAGCTATCGAACAATGCATCGCAATGCAGAAAATGGCGGTATTGTTCGTGCCGGGACCATTCTTCCGCCATGATGAAGATGGAACGAAGTCGTGCGTTTATTGTTCAGCAAGAAATTCCGTTGTTCCGATCGATCGAATACGAACAACAGATTTTCCGATGAAAATTATGTTTGAAATTTGATTACTACGATTTCGGGATGGAAAGTTCATTTTGAAGAGGCGGTTGGTTCTTCATTTTGCATTTAGGGGGTTGGTTCATAGGAAACTGGGGTACTTCCAATCCTGAACTTCAAAATTTTAAATTCCAAAATTACCAAATTTCAAAATTTCCAAATTCCAATGTTTCCAAATTCTAATATTTCAAAATTCCAAAATTACCAAATTCCAAAATTTCTAAATTCCAAAATTTCCAAATTCCAAAATTTCCAAATTCCAAAATTATCAAATTCCAAAATTTCAAAATTCCAAAATTTCCAAATTCCAAAATTTCCAAATTTCCAAATTTCCAAATTCCAAAATTTCCAAATTCCAAAACTTCCAAATTTCCAAATTTCCAAATTCCAAAATTTCCAAATTCCAAAACTTCCAAATTTCCAAATTTCCAAATTCCAAAATTTCCAAATTCCAAAACTTCCAAATTTCCAAATTTCCAAATTCCAAAATTTCCAAATTCCAAAACTTCCAAATTTCCAAATTTCCAAATTCCAAAATTTCCAAATTCCAAAACTTCCAAATTTCCAAATTTCCAAATTCCAAAATTTCCAAATTCCAAAACTTCCAAATTTCCAAATTTCCAAATTCCAAAATTTCCAAATTCCAAAACTTCCAAATTTCCAAATTTCCAAATTCCAAAATTTCCAAATTCCAAAACTTCCAAATTTCCAAATTTCCAAATTCCAAAATTTCCAAATTCCAAAATTACCAAATTCCAAAATTCCAAAATTCCAAAATTCCAAAATTCCAAAATTCCAAAATTCCAAAATTCCAAAATTCCAAAATTCCAAAATTCCAAAATTCCAAAATTCCAAAATTCCAAAATTCCAAAATTCCAAAATTCCAAAATTCCAAAATTCCAAAATTCCAAAATTCCAAAATTCCAAAATTCCATCATCCCAAAATTCCACCATCCTAAAATTCCATCATCCCAAAATTCCACCATCCTAAAATTCCACCATTCCAAAATTCCACCATCCCAAATTTTCCAATGAAAATTATGTTTCAGATTAAGGAAAGAAAATGAAGGTAAAATTAAGGGGTTGTTTTCATAAAAGTTAATGAACAATATTAGTACTAATTTTCTAAAATGATCTTCCACAAATTTCATTTGATAAGCTTTAAACTAAATTTCATCTTCTACTAGATTACATTTAAACTACACGTAAGATCGCCTTAAATTCATAAGTACGCTATCAACCTGATGCACCACTAATTTCGTCAGGTTCCAGAAAAAGATTGCTTATTAACAATAAAATTGCATCTTCACCGTTCTCGAATATAAAATAATTCACAATAGCAGAGTGTGGTTCCTCAAGTTTTAAACTGCCCCACATTTTATAACGATATTCCTAAAAATTTTTTAGGTTCAAGGTATTCAAATCAGCTTCAAACGTTAGAACATAGTCGCACAGTTTTATAGCCTTCAATTATATCGCCCTGAAAAGTGCTATGTTTCACCAAATCTTAATAAAACACTGTATTAAAAGTTCAGTCGAAGAATATGCAAGTATAATTCGATTTAAAGTGCTCTCAGAGCATAGAGCTACGATTGTGCTAGTTTGAAACTACCCTTGATAAAATTTTGAATGTAATACTTTAAACGAGTCTTATTTAACTAGCTTTAGTTTCAGTATCCTCAAACAATGTCAAAATCTACTACTACATTTTATATTTTACAAACATTAAATTATAACTTAATATCTGCAAAATCAATTGGGTTTTAATATAATCAAATGTGCAGAATAAATGTGGTGGAATTTTGAAACCACCCTTAAACATTTTTAGCACTGTTGTATTTCAAGCATATATTATTTAATCATTTTAAGTTTCATCGTCTTCTGAACATTTTTAGTAGCTATTATAAAATTTGAACAAGAGGCACAAAATCGTAATTTAAGTCATGAAAATTGATTGCATTTTGAAATGTATAGAATGACCATAATACAATATGTTCATATTGAAATCACACCTGATAAAATTTCAAATCAATTTGACAAAATTTTGAAATCACACCTGAACATTCTGTACATTCTCGTATTTCGATTGAATCTTTATCAACCTATCCTTAATTTCAATATTCTTATAAATTCACAGAACATACCTTTATACGCGAATAAAAAATATTAACCTCATTTTTCAAGTCATGCAAAATGAACTTTCTTCTAAGAGACAGTCAAATAACCATCCCTGATGAACAGAATAACCATCCCTTAATCACCAGAATCTTGAAACGACCCCTAAATCACAGCGAAAGAAAATTCCCCACGACAATTAAACCTTAAACTACTGTAATTCTGAAGCTAGGCACCCCATTTTCGTGAAGTTCGCATTAATCGATATTCCCAAAGTTTGATCCCTCAGCCATTCGATCGAACCGGATCAAAATTACCTAATCCCATTATCGATCGTCGAAGCAATCCACAGTTTCGAAACCGCGATCGGGAAGAGCGTATCCCGGTTCGCCCTCTTCATCCCTGGAGCGACCCTACGTCTCGCTGGTAATCCCGCGTAGCGTTGAATACGACCTGGGTAAAATAAGAGGGAATCGCGCGTGCAGGGTGGAAGAGGTTGAAAGAGGGTAGGTGATGGTGGGGGTGGTATGGGGGTGTGGGAAGGATCGGGATGCTGTGGGCAGAGAGAGCGGTTTCAGTCGCGCGACGGCTTTCGGCCCGGCCAGTCGATCGAGCTCTTCTTTCTTTTCCGAAGAAGAAGAGGCACTCCGCGTCGCGATGTTTCCGCCGGAAGTTGGCCGTGATCCATCGTGATCCAGTGATCCTGTGACTCGACAGTGTACTCTGTGATCGTGTTCCCGCGAACGACCTTGCGAAGGACACATTTTAACCACCTGTGCTCGTCCAAGGCACCAGATGTTCACCGGGTAGAAATACAGTTCAGTGATTGTTTTTCTTCTCGCAAAAACTGTTCCATGGTGCAAAGAATTCCGGTGCCTCCGAGGGTGGGTCAAGGCTCAGAAGTTTCTTGCCATACTCTTCTTCGGTAAGTACTCTATATAGAGGTCTCGGAGGGGATGTATTACTCGGAGAAGATTCCGGCTGAATTAATTTGCGGGAGTTAATTGCTCGAGCGATCGAGACACGACTCGAGGAATCAGCGAACACGATGACCTGGAATTTAAGCGTTCCTCTTTGGCCGAAGACCCGGGTCAAGGCCACGCCGGAGATTTGCTAAATGTAACGCGAAACCTCCGGCTAGGTATTGTGTTGAATTGTGGCGAATTTTTCCCTTCTTTAACGGAACGGCTTTTCGCGCTCGGAAGAGCTCCTAGAAAACGTCTTCTCTTTGCTCGGGACGTGTCGTCTTCAAGGTCGACCTTTTTCCTTCTCGAGGATTGTCGGATCTTATTCGACCGTGAATTCTTCGGTGAATCGCTGCTTCTGATCGAACTATTCTTTATTTTCAGGACTTCTTTACTTTTCTAAATTTTCGTAAAATTAGTTATTTTATTTTTAAATCGTTAACACGTTGACTGACGCGTCATCCACATATGAGTGACACTTAAGTTACTAAGCTGATCTAACATGAGTATTATTAAAAATTGGTTCACTTTCGTCATAAAAAATTCTCGCATTA